ATACAAGTCTTACTTTAATCCCATTGTTAGAATGGCACGACAATATAATGAGTTGGCAAGTGGCAACACAGATCTTGATATATTTGAGAATAATTTTTATAAATATTGTAAATTAGTTAGACATATTCTCAAATAATTAATATTGTCCAGTTAATGATACATTAGATTTAATTTAATCAGATAGTAACTTACATGTGTGTGAGTGTGCGCGCGTGCGGTTGTGTATGTGTGAGTGAGCGTATGTGTGTGTATGTGTGTATACATGTAAGTATACATGGTATTTAGGCATCGGTTCTGTTATATTTTTTTTCTGTATGCACCTGTTTTGAATTGCAATCCAGATTGTTATATTAAACATTTAAACTTATAATTTCTATGTAATTTGTTTTGTGCATCAATAAAAAGAAAAAAAATGTCTTTATTTGTTATAGACAAATTGATATTAAATTTTATCAATTTGTGGTTTCTGAAAATTTACAAAATCCTTCATTTGCCTAGCTTCACTAGCCCTAGCATGGGCAGTGCTTCGCAGAATCTACCACCGGATCGGAATCGCGACCCACTGAGAAGATCCGGCGATAAGCTCAGTGGGCTGTGTCTGTACTTAACCTAGTTGCATGTCTAAAGCCGATGGCATCGATTTTGATTGACCCAGTGCTGCAATAGTTCCCGCCTCTGACTGCTGGGCAAACATACGTGTGACCAAGTTTTTGTTTTTAACTCTTTTTGTGGACAATTACAACCTTACATGTATCTATATATTGATACGCGATGCATGACCGAGGAGTATGAAATTTGCCACATTTATAGAGAATATAGAGGAGTGCAGAATGCAATTTTTTTTTAAATTATACGCAGTAAAAAAAAAAAAATTTATTGCTTAGATGGGTGGACGAGCTCACAGCCCACCTGGTGTTAAGTGGTTACTGGTGCCCATAGACATCCACAACATAAATGCGCCACCCACCTTGAGATATAAGTTCTAAGGTCTCAAGTTAGTTACAACGGCTGCCCCACCCTTCAAACCGAAACGCATTACTGCTTCACGGCAGAAATAGGCAGGGTGGTGGTACCGACCCGCGCGGACTCACAAGAGGTCCTACCACCAATATATGAAGTCAATAAATAAAAATTACACATACTACCATATGTTTTTGACTCACACGCATTTAAACTCTTTTGGTTATTGTTTAAAGTCTGTGGTCCAATTGAGAACAGATTAATATTGTTTGTCTTTAATATTAATATATCTATAGTGTAGCCTTGACGAAATATGTGATTATAGAAGTATAATAAGTCTAATCATAATAATGTTCGAACTTATAATTTCAATTAATTATAGTCGAATTTCGACTACTGCGGGACCACTAGTGTTTATATAATAAGAAAACAACATTTAAAGCCGGAGATTAGGTTGAGAGACGTCCACAGAAAAGGCGCCTTATGAAAATATCGCTTAAATAAAATAACGAGTGGCGGGCAAATAATCGAAAAAAAGAAAAAAAAGACACCAATAAAAACGCATAATCTATTTGAGCGGGCAACATCTATGTTTAGCCCGTCCTTTATTATGACCCCAAATGACGTCACTAAAACATGTTGAATTCAGATGAGTTATGTGAAGTTTATACGTTTTTTTTTTTAAATAAGATCTGTTTGCCTCCAACTAATCAATGTCTCCTATAATGTAGAAAAGGAAAAATGTGTTATATTATTAGCAGGTTTGACATAAATTTGTTGTTTATATCTTCATGCGGGAACGCGAGAAGTGAAATTGTGTGATTGTTGTGTTTTATTTTGTCTATTTAGTGTTTCTTCAGGTTCAAATATGTAATAACGGTAACTATTAACTGTTTAGTATCTGTGAAAACGGGAAAATAAAACAAAACCGGTGCGGCGGCACCCCTCCCATGCGGGGCAGGCGACGAGCGTGTGCTCTGCCGTGTCCAAGTCGCAACCACAATGGTGGCACTGTGCCGTCGGCTCGGCTCCGATCCGGTGCAGGAACTCACCGAAGCAACCATGCCCAGTGAGCACCTGCGTGAGCCGGAAATTGAGGCATCCTCTGTCACGATTCACCCAATCCACAAGGACCGGGCGAATCGCCTCGACGGTCCTACGACTAGCCGAAGGATCAGCCAGCCGTCTGGACCATGACTCCAGCTAGCACTAGCCCTAGCAAGAGCGGTGCTTCGTTTCTGAGTATCGTTCTTAATAAAGCACCGCAAAACACCGGTTGTATCTAACTTAGAACTTCTCTAGATAGCAACGGTTGCCTGGAAGAGATCGCTTTTAGCGATTAAACTGTTTAATGCACAATTATAGTTACCCGTTGACTATTTTCAATGTTAAATGGGTTTTGGTGCGCAATAAAGTAATCTCTTTCTCTCTTATTTATTTTCTCTCTACCTATCTCTCTTTACTTCCACTTCACTTCACTTCAAGATTTTAATATGAATACAGCACCGGCATCACAGTTGTTTGATACATCATACATATTGTTACGCCGGTGAGAGTAACGTCATCTATCGCCGAATAATCGAACGAATATCGAAGGATCTAATAGCATCTAGAACGCTCGAGAAGTACAACGCCATCTATTGTCTGATAGCGGAAACACAATACTCGACTTGTGAAGGAATATTCTCGATAATTTATCGATATTTAAGGTATCGACTATAAAAGCGTTGCAGAGATGGCAGGCAGTCAGTTAGTAATCGGAACTACTCGAAGCGAAACAGCGTACGGATCATCTGAAGCGAAGCGGAAGAAATGGATTGAGAATTTTAAAGTGTCTGTGAAGTGTTTTAAGTGTTCCAAGCGTTAATATAGTTTTCATTTATATTTCGGTAGAATTTTTATTTATCCTGAACCCCAGCGCGTAACAATATGTACGCTTCAAAGACGAGGTCAAATGAATATTCTAGCAACACACTCCAAGAATACACATAACGTATTTATCAATTTAAACATCATTCAAATGTGTATATTTAAATTTTAAATTTAAAAACGTATGTTTTACATGCAATTGCCCCCGAACTTTAATTCTCTTGTGATGTGGATGCCCGAAACATTCTTATGAGACATGAAATATTAAAGACGGATAGAAAGAAAGATTGCTTATTGCCGAGTACTCTCTTCAAAATTTGTTTTAGGAAAGGACCTGTTGCAAGACATAGATAGCATCAAGCAAGATACTCCAAACAAACCCAGAATTTGTAATTGAAGTCCCCCAAACCAACATTGGTCAGTCAATTTAATTATTCTTGCATCAATTTCATACAAACTGCAAGTCAGTGACAATTCCCATTTCCAAATTAATTATATCTGCTTCATTTCATTCATTTGCAATTTAAATGTGAAAATAGATTGTCAAAATAAATCAATTCACACAACTTCGCTGCTCGCATTAAATAAGGATCTGTGATAGCTCAACTGTGGCAACACTCACAATTGTGTGTGTTGTGAGTGTTGCCAAATTGAAAATTATTATTTTGTATTACAGGTTTTTTTTTTTTATTTCATGACCTAGGCTACAGCTATCTTTAAACTAAATGCAAGAGGCATGTAACTATCTAAATGTGTTAAAGCCATAATAGTGTGACACTGAGAACTCATTGAAAATATTTCGACTTCTATTTTTTTGTCCCATAACGTGAAGACTTTTTTTATTACCGAAATGGGTGGACGAGGTCACGGCCCACCTAGTGTTAAGTGGTTACCGGAGCCCATATACATCTACAATGTAAATGCCGCCACCCACGTTGAGATATGACCTCTAAGGTCTCAGTATACTACAACGGCTGCCCCGCCCTTCAAACCGAAACCCATTACTGCTTCATGACAGAAATAGGCAGGGTGGCGGTACCTACCCTTGTGGATTCACAAGATATCCTATCACCAGTATATACTGCATTGTATGCCCTCTTTTTCCATTCAAGCAATGTCATCTCTGCACTCACACCCTTCGCTTACATTCTTCTTCTTCTAAATTGTTCCCTCATTACTGATTGCTATCACACGCATGCAAGTATTTCCACGTACATAGGTCTGGTCTGTGAACCGCCTGTTGGATGCTGCCTCCAACTACTCTCCTCACAGTGTCTAACCTTGTTCTCTTGCATATATATCTTTCACAAAGGCCATCTAAGTATTTTTAAAATGACCCCTCATCAGAATTCTGTCTACTTTCATACCCACATTTTTTTTTTGACTACATGAGCTTCTCATAAAATGCCCATACCAAGACAGCAAAATAATAATAATTGAAATTACATTATTTTAATTCGCTCTTAAGACAATTCTGGCTAATAACTCAAGCATCATGTCACAAGGGAGTCACATGTTCCAATTTGATGAATCAAGACAGCATAAGCACAGCAAGCCTTTCTTCTCAATTAGACTGTCGACGGTTTCTTACGATATCTATTTGTCATAGACATGACAATGTTACAGCAATAAGTCTTTATGTTTAGCTTGATTGAATAAATATTGCTTCCAGCTTATGGTATCATTAAGATGGGAATAATACAGTAGTTACATGCAGACATCGCAGACAGTGCCGTGCAGAGCCATTATTGTACAAACATGATAGCCTAAATCAAGAAATGTGAAGGCAGACATTGAGACATGACTATGGCATTATTTTAATCCCATTTCTTATTACACCTGGTGTATACTGCCAGGTTATTTATTCCGTGTCCTCAATCAATTCATATTTAATTATTTTGATGTTGGCTTCATTTAAAATGGCTGCATAAATATTAAAACCCTTTGCTAACGTATTATGAATTTTAAAATTACAAACTCTAACAATAATTATGGCTTGAGGAATATTACAAACAAAGAAAATCTTCGGTTATATTGACGCAGAAGCATGCAGGTTTGTATTCGTTTATCATTTAGAGCGTTTAATCGACCGGCCGTTGAGTTATGACCCTTTGACTTGGAAAAATAAATTGCTTTGTTTTATTACATGGTCACAAAAAAAAAAACCTCACCTTCTTGTCCGTATCCGCTGTCGTCTAATTCCTGGTTGCTTTCGTTCTCCGCCTGCAGCGAACCCATTTTACACTTAAAAAACCACCTTGATAATTTTAATGAATCGGAAAAGTTTTTCACGTCAATGGTAGAATGTACACCAACGAATACGAAACGAACAAAGGGAATGACATGAATTAAAGCATATTAAGCCGGGTGAAGTAAACAAACTGCGTTTTGGAACGAGTCCAAGATTATTAAGAGCAGGTACTCTTTTGGTTTTCCTTTGGGACCGCAGCACTGACCTACGAAAATTTTTGACAGATTGACATGACAAAAACAAAATCGAACAAGAGATTAATTGGTGAGTGAGATGGGTTTATTGATTTTCATAGAGACGTTCTTAGTCGATTTATTCTGTTCTGACTTTTTCATCGAGTAATTTCGTGATTTCAAAATTTATAAATTTAGTAAAACGGATCTAATACTTAAACAGCCATCTATGTCAATATAAAAAATAATGTTTTAATTTCATGTTTTACTTATTCCTTCACGTTTAAAACATCACAAAGTAGAAAGTTTTTTTTTTTTGTTTCTCCATTTGAAAAAAAAATTAACCTTCATTACGGTAAACTCTAATTTAGTTAAATCTAGACTTTAGGGATTAATAGCTATGAATATCTGCCATAACTCATAACACAATAATGAAAAGTACAACTTTAACAAAAATTTAATATATTACAAATGATACTTCATTCATTCCTTACAATCCATTTTATGTGAGTAGGCGTGTACGCCTGTGTACTACGAATCTGCTCCTTGCACCATTAGCCTTTAAAAAGCATTCAATTTTCTCAATATGAGCATGTCGAATATTTTTTAATACCTACTGAGCATATCAGCATTATTTGACTGAAACTTGTATCCACAAATTGTTCATAGAACAAGATTTACAAATTGGAATGTAATGTAGCAACCAAATTCTGTGAAACAATTTTATTAAATATTGGCGCAGAAAATGCAGGTTCGTCTCTAAAGACGAACTAACTAACGAACGAACGAACGATAAACTAACAAATTGACATTTCAGACAAATACAACAGCAAACAAAAATAACGTTTGCGTAACTCAATTTTAGTAGTACTTGGATACGAAAGAAAATAGCATTATTGATGAGTCTAGCTTAATTTTATAAAGCTATTTGTGAAAAATAGTCGCAATACTCGCAATCCATACGGCAGGTGATTGTAGAATCCAATTTGGCAATGAAGTAGGAAACTTATGGAAATGAAACGTCAACCAAAATTTCGTGCCAGTGTGACGTCATCTGGCCACAAAACATGGCGGCTTTAGTGCTGTACAAAAGATTTCAATGTTATCAGGTTTTATCGATAAACGTTCTTGACTCATTTTATTTTAAGTATTGTTGAGTATTATTTATTTGTAGAATTTATACTTTAATGGGAAGTAAGTAGGTATATTGTTATGTGCAAATATGATATGATTTAGATGGGTGAAATCTAAGACAAGTTCGTCCTTCGAATTTGCCAAGTAAATGATATGATGATTTTTAAAAGTTGCTACACTGATTTTATAAAGTTGTTGTTTGTCGCAAAACATAAAGATATGGCGTAGTTCAAAGCCATCAGCCCATTTCTAGCATGCTAAATGTTATCGTATTTTGAGTACGTGTTTTTCTTAGACTATTACAATCTATTTTAATTGTTTTGCTGACTCTAAAGTCCGTAACATACTACCGCAGCGCACCCCAAGGAAGGTGCGCCGCACCATTTGAATCACTTTCGCTTGAGAGTGATTCAAATTTTAAACTTATCAAGGGACCGCGTGAAAAAAAAAACACCTACAGAACATTTATTCATTAATTACAAACGTCATTCCTTGTGACTTCCTCTCTAAAATCACTTAATTATTAAATATTTAACAAATTTACAATAGTGTTTTACTCACTGCGGAATAAAACTATTTTATTTAAATAGTTCCGAAGAGATTTTGTCGGTAGCCTTTTTCCCGAAATATCTAAACAGAATGTCTAAATATGTTTTGATGACATATTTTAAAGTGGTATTTATGATTAGTGTCATGATCAATAGATTCCGACCGAAAAATGGATTTTTCGGATGAGGGCTCCATAATGAATTTAAATACATATAGATAATAGTTTTAGGGCATCGACTTTCTTGAGATCCTATAAAATACGTTTTAATTATTATTTTTGTATGTTTTAAGCATGATAAAATAAGAAATTTTATATAAGCAATCATATTAAATCGATATCAAAGTCAATAAATAATGTACAACCCAAAACAGACGGCCGAACTGACGTGACAATGACATTTGGCGCGCTAAACATGGCGGATTTTCGGCCTCATTAGACGGAGACGGAGACATTTACGTATATTCATGTTTTATTTTATGTACGCACTGAAATACTGTTATATTGTTTTCCTGCGAGTTAAAGTGCTGAGTAAGAACGAGATAGATATATGTTTATGTGTGTGCCTTCAAAATGGGTGCTATTTATATAAGCAATTGTACGTATAGAACAATATGTCGTGTCCCTACTATATAGGTCTATGCAATTTGGTCATTAAATCCACAAACAGCTGAAAAGGCTAGCGGTTTGACATTTTTGACTTTTGACATTCCTTTCACGCGATTACCTTCAAAAGCGCGTGGCGTTGCTTCAAAATATTTTTGTTTTTAAAACGCAATGGCGAAATCGATTAGGAGCAGATGGAAGCGAAAATGCAGGGCGATCAAACGAGAACGGTATGCGGTAAAAGAATTAGCGCGATTGAAAAAAATGCTCGGCGTCAAAGATGAAGAGAAACCAGCTGGAAGTGAGGTTATGGAATCTGAGCAAGTTATATTTCTGGACGCGGGCGATTTAAAGAAAAGCAAAAAAGTATTAGAAGACATCGAAAAGGACAATGAAGACGTCGAAATGAGTTCAGATGATGAAAACGTTGTGGTCGATAGCGAAGGCGGCAAGAAAAGAGTTTTTAATACGAAAACTTTGAAAGATCAGAACGGACAGTACCCGGTTTGGTTGCACAAACGTAAGATCGCCAAAATAAATAAAGACGGTAAAAAGAAGCAAAAAAAGAGAATTAAAAAGCGAAAGAAGTAATATTTTAATAAATTAGTGTTAAAAAAAAATGTTTTTATTTTAATCCCGTCGAAAATATTTGATAACATATATGAAGAATATTGTTAAACAGTCGTTGCATTTCGTGAAATATTAAAACACTACTGGTTGTCTGTTTTGTTTATGGTAGCCAAGAAACCATTTGGGTGCAAACTTGTCTAAAATTTCAACTCGTACAGGATATTTGGGTGCATAAAACAAACAATCCTAAATTATTCATTTTTATGTATAGAATGCAGCGATATTATTATATGTTAAGTACAATTTGTAAAACTTAAAGTTTCTAATTTTGAGGTTCTTATATTATTGCAGTTTATTTACCAATTTAAAATAACTGTTATATATATATATTATATATCTGGCTAAATGTGTATATCAAGGGTGGTCAACTGATCCATTGCAGCTTTTGGTTCCATCGTGGCTAGGCAAAAAATACAAATACATGGAAAAGACAGCACAATGTAATCACTAATTACTGCATGTATCATCTTTATCTTGTATTATTTGTTATTGGCCTTTCTGTCCCATTATTTATCCTATATAATAAAATATACTACTCATTTGTATACTGAACTATATTGTTTCATTAAATTTCAAGCAATGTTGGTAGATTGGAAATGGTTTTGTCGGTAAACAGTAGATCTTGGTTCTATTCAAGTTGTGTACCTCTGGTGTATACGATTCTCTGTGAAATTATATATGATAACACACAAAATTGCCACAACTCAGTGGTCAGAATTGTTGGAAATACAATTAAGTCAACATTTGTACATGTTGGCATAATTGGGCTTTAGAAACCTCATCATTACCTCTACATTAGTTCTGTTCTCTCTGTAGCCAAAGCTGATAAATTATGTCAATAATTTTTTTTTTTTTTTTGTATTTAGAAGGAATTATGTCAATTTCAGGACTGTTACATAAAATAAAAATTTTCAAATAAAATTATTCTCAATACAGTTTTTAAAATTTATTAGCAGGTAAGATCTTGATCTTGATAATATTGGCCCTTAGACCAACGCCAGTAGATGTATAGTAATTTAGATGAGTTCATATTGATCACAGAACCATTAAATCGATATTGCACGTCTTAAACCACTTTATAAGCATTCACACTGGCAACAGCTCTCCCTAATTCAGATGTATGAGTATCCGACTTTAAATGTTGATCTACAACTGGATTTGGCAAGATGATGTTACATATTGTGCAGTAATAACCATTGCCACGGAGCTGTAAGAAAGATTGACTACAACATAACTGGGATAAAAAGTTTCATGATATAACATAGTGTTCACCTACGAGCGTCTTAATTTCACGTCGAATCTCTCAATGAGATCAATCCGAATGACTCCACTTAAGGTAAATTATTATATTGATAAATTTAAAATTTAGTACTAATCTGTGAACTGAATATAATTACTAAGCGAATTAAAAAAAAGTTTATAATTTTTTTTAATCCCTTTATACGTTTAACTAAAATTAAATTGAAATTTCTTTTAAGCTTATGTAAATTATTGTCATATACAGAAATACTTTTCATACTTACATTTCGTATCAAATTTTCTCCATAATCCTCCATATTTGGATTAGAAGTCATAGCTTTTAAATGACCGGCGGTTTTTTTGTGATATTCTTTATAGGCATGATCCAAGTCCATTTCTCTGTTACAAAATACACACTTATACACGCTTCCCGCTATTATTAGCCCGTGGTAGCCATCAGAAGAAACAACAAGTTTGTTATTATTTTTCAAAGTTACAATCACATATTGTTTTTCTGAAACACATCTTTTTGCTTTTTCATTCGGGTCCGTTATGCATTTAGGTCTTCGCAGTGGTGGAAACGGCTTTTTTTTAGTAATTTGGTTCATATTTCTTGGCGCAGAAATGTAGCCGTTTATTTAGAATTCAATCTTAGCGGGTAAAGACTAAATATTCTTTAGTAATAAATTATCTATAGCGGGTATTTTCATTTCTGTCATAGGACTTTTTAGCGGGAACGCGAGGAGTGAACGTAATGTGAATTGTTTTATTTTGTCTATGTGTTTCTTAGGTTCAAATGTGTAATAACGGTGATTTGTTAACTGTTTTATGTCTGTGAAAGTGCACAAATGTAGGAAAATGAAACCAAAGCCGGTGGATGTAGCTTCTCGGGATCCTCCAAAAAGCCTACTGAAAAAGTCTCAGTAAATAACCACCATTTTACTGAGATTATATTTCATCCTATATTATCTCATACCATTTCATTTAATTTCACCTCAGTTGATTAATATCTCAAATTAATCATCGTCATTCCATTGGACTTCATTTTTCATAAAAATAAGAATATAAATTAAAATAAGACTTGGCCTAAAGGTTTTAGTGACAAGGTCATAAAATCCCTTTAAAAAAAAAGTTTGACGTTTGTTAAGCTTTGTGTCAGTTAGTGTTTGTTGTTTTCGCGTTAACAGATTAGAACATAAAAAAATTTAAAAAATGAATTTTACTTATTATTATTGCCGCCAAATATAAATAGTTCAAATCATTAACTAAATTTCTACCGAATTTAAAATTTTTTGCTGTCTAAAAGCTATGCATAGCTACAATCGCAATATATGTTAAAGCCTCATATTATTGTGGTATTCGACTGTCTTGGAATAAACAGTATTAATCGTCAAGAAAACTCGGACAATCTGTAAAAAAATATGCAAAAATACAAGAAACCACTCTAAAAGAAAAAATGAAAATTTAAATATTAATTTAGTTAATAATGTTCATTCGAATCTACAAATTCTAATTTAGAATATTTTTGCGAAATACCTTTGTCGTGTGGCAAACGCCTTTTTTTCCAGTGACCATTAATCACGGAATGTCGCAAGATGGTCCCATTGTTTTCGTGGATGTAGCTACTGAATACAAAAATGTATATACACCCGAAGAACCTGTTACGGAAACAGTAGCCGTCCAGAACAAGTATGTTGAATGCCCATATTAACATCAACAATTAAAAAAAAAAGTTCAAATTGAAGAGCCCTGTGCTAGAACTTTCTGGTGTTTTATAGGTGACAGAAATAAACACATTCCAGACGAGATTCTTTGAAGATACTTGTGGACACTTACAGCACACTAACAAATATGCTAATTAAGTCCCTCACTTCATTTGAGAAACAAACTAGGCACCACTGTAGTCAGCATCAGTAAATGATGATGCCATTAAATGGCTCCTAGAAAAAATGATAATGATAAAGTAATAAATTATTATATATACTTACAAATTGTTATTTATATTTTCTGTAATAATGTAGTACACTAATAGCACATTGCAACATACCTGCTATTTCTTTATGTTTCAAGGATTTCTGTAATGAAACGGTTGTCTGGAAGAGATCACTTTTAGCTATAAGAACACCTTGTACAAACATATCTACTTGTTGATTGATTTTAATGTGAATTGTGTTTTGGTGTGCAATAAAGTGTATTCTCTCTCTCTCTCTCAGTCATTATTATTTAACATATTATTTTTTTCTTTATTTCTCAATATTGAAGCCCAGTGGAGTAAGCTAATAACCTATCTGGTGCTAAAGAGCAATTGAGCCTCGCAGATATTTTACATTTGAAGTTTGATATCCTGTTCTACTCTTCAAATCAGAAATCAGAATAAGCAAGCAAGTTGTGGCTATACCCTTGCCACCTAAGCTATGCCCTCGCCATGAGTAATTACACAAATAACTAGTAAATTCGAATAGAATAACTTCCAAAAGTCTAAAACGATCATACTACATATTATAAATAAATAATATTGCAGCACCAATACGAGTAGCATCCAGAATTTCAAGTGTAATGAGTGCAATAGAACCGTAGACAGTGAAGAGAAATTAAGTCAACACATACGGAGGGCACACCGTGGAGAAAATGCTTTTCAATGCTCGATGTGTCAATACTCGACATACAATAAAAGTGGATTCGAAGAACACGTTAGGATACATCAAGGTGAGTTCTTTCTGATTCCGTATTAGACATAAAATATACTATTACAAATAATTTATAAGTATCACAAAGGGTGCTTTATGATAGAAGATGGGCAGTGATTGTTTATGCTTCCAATCATCTTACTGCATGAATACTTACTGGTGGTAGGACCTCTTGTGAGTCCGCGCTGGTAGGTACCACCACCCTCCCTATTTCTGCCATGAAGCAGTAATGCGTTTCGGTTTGAAGGGTGGGGCAGCTGTTGTAACTATACTGAGATCTTAGAACTTATATCTCAAGGTGGGTGGCGCATTTACGTTGTAGATGTCTATGGGCTCCAGTAACCACTTTACACCAGGTGGGCTGTGAGCTCGTCCGCCCATCTAAGCAATAAAAAAAAAAAACTTTATAATATAGTAAGGACATCTTCAATGGTCAGAACATTATCAATGCATCCAACCCTAAAAAGCATGATAGCTACACATCAAACATGCGAGTTAGCAGTAAATACTAATCTGGACAATCATTTAACGGCGAATGCCACCACCTCCCTCGAGGGTCCAGATCTATGTCTATAATGGTATAGTATTTATGCAAATCATCTGTTTGATTTGATCACACTATGTTATCCCTTCATTGTCGGAGGCATTAATGAGCATGAGTTAAGTAAGAAATTTGAGTGGTTTTCTTTCTGTTGTGAACAATCACAGTAAAACGGGTGATCAAGATAACAAGTATTTCATACAATAATAACACGCTTATAGAGACTTGTCGTTAAGTTGCCACGTCATTTCGGATCCTGCCGATCCACTAACGGTGCTTCTAGGTACCTCAAGCACCAGTCATCGTTCTCGTCAAGCCCGTCGCTTGCGATGAAGGGCTCGACGAGTAGATTAACCCACAGACACAGCCCACTGAGTTTCTCGCCGGATCTTTTCAGGGGATCGCGTTTCCGATCCGGTGGTAGATTCTGCGAAACACTACTCTTGCTAGGATTAGTGTTGGCAACGTCGTCAGGCTCAAAAGCTACGTAAGCTCACCTACTTGTTAGGTTACGCTGACATAGCCTCTCAAGGCTATCAACTTAAATAGTAAAAAAAAAAACGTTAAGTTGCTACTTAATAATGACATATTAATGTTCTAGTAATTATTCCAGGTATAAAACCATTTAAATGCTCCTACTGCCCTTATAGGAGCGTTTCGAAGAAATACGCCAAGAAGCACGAACTGATCCACCGGCCCGACAACCCGTTGAGATGTCAGCACTGTCCTTACATAGCGCGGAACTATCGCATGTTGAATTCCCACCAGAAGAAGTTGCACGGCAACGAGAAACAACGGGTTATCATCGCGTGCACGTTGTGCGGGAAGAAATTCGACGATATGAACGTTTATTTCGCTCACAAGAAACGCAGGAAGCAGTGTGATGAGTGCGGTCTAGAGGTTTGTCATCAGGCGATGAACAGGCACAAACACGAGAAACACGGCATGAAAAGAAAAGTTCGCGGGAAAGACGTTTTCACATGTAAAATATGCGAATGGTCTTCGGTAAATAAAGTTAAGGTTTTGTTGCACATCATTCATCACCCCGAACAGGATTTGAGCGATTGCAGTTTCGATTTGAGCGTTCTGAAGAAATGTCAAATTTTGCCGCCATAACGTCGTGGAGAGAATTAAATATGTAGGTAGGCATAGTAATTTGGCGCGAAATATATTTTTTTAAATGTCAAAATTTTAATTATAGTACACGCGATACCGTATCTATGGAAAAAGGCCCTATAGCAAAGGGAAATAAAAATATCGCGCTCTGTATAATCTGCTTTTAGTCACAAGTTCTCGCTTAAAACATAAATGAATTTTCTGTTCTCCGAATTTAACAATATATTATAGTCCAGATTTTGACCTTTAAGCACTTGGACTTTGTGAGAAGAACTTGTTTGTTTGATGTTGTTTTTTTAATTGAATTATGAAGTTTGAGTTTATGAGTAAAGTATATAAAATGAAATAACAGAATAAGTATATAACACAATAGGCAAAGGTATACATGAAATAAACTTATTTTGAGATATTTTTATTTTTGTTTACTTTCCAAAGCCGGGCATGCGTTCTTGTGGTGCCATTATGTGTTTGTACCGGTAGTTTCCGGATAACCAGCCGTAGTGGCCAAGCGACGATGACGATTCCGCGAATCGAGTGAATAATAAGTATCTGTAATTGTCAACGAATGATTAACTCGGTTTTATAGTACATTGCTGCTCCACCTTCCAAAACCGCAACGCATTACTGTTTTAAGGCAGAACTAGGCCTAACTGTATGGGCTCGCAAGACGCCTTACCACCATATTGCAGTTTCAAACTAAATTATGGTAAAAAAAAAGTTTATTGCCCGTGTAGGCCGACGAGCGTACAGCCCACCTGATGTGAATGGTTACCGTCGCCCATGGACTTCAGCAATGCCAGGGGCAGAGCCAAGCCACTGCCTACCGTTAAGTACTCTCCATAAGCCTCGTTTGAAGAAGGATATGTCATAGCGCTCGGGAAACACCGTGGAGGGGAGCTCATTTCAAAGCCGGATAGCTTTCTTCTATTACCTCGATGAGGCGCAAAAGGACCAACTTAGCGCTGAACTGGTGACCTTCTCAGAGTCTTCGCCTGGTGGTGGGCTAAATTCTAAACAAAAAATAATAATAATTAATAGTTTTATTTCCTTGAATCCTACTTCCTACTAATATTATAAACGCGAAAGTTTGTAAGAATGTATGGAGTAAGTTTGTTACTCTCTTCTTGCAGGAAAACGCTAGATTAAACAGGAAAAGTAGTTTGTTTTACTATGTCCACGGCTGACGGAAATCGAAGCAAATCCCTACACCTCTTTAAACGTAAGCCCTAAGGTAAAAAACTTATTGTCTAATATGTGGGTAGTCGGCGAAAGTCTAAAACAATAACGGTCATCGGTTGACCATCCCCTACGACTTACTAGTTCGTAAATTTCGCGTTGTTTGAACACCGATTTAGTTCTTCTAAAAGAGGTCGGTTCGTAATTGAAGACATGAGTGGATGAAGGGGTTAAGTACCATTTTTAAGATTTTTGAGTTTTTACATTGATTTTTTTTTGTTATTGCTTAGATGGGTGGACGAGTTCACAGCCCACCTGGTGTTAAGTGGTTACTGGATAGACATCCACAACGTAAATGCGCTACTCACCTTAAGATATAAGTTCTAAGGTCTCAAGTATAGTTACAACGGCTGGCCCACCCTTCAAACCGAAACGCATTACTGCTTCACGGCAGAAATAGGCAGGGTGGTGGTACCCACCCGCGCGGACTCACATCACAAGAGGTCCTACCACCAGTAATTACGCAAATTATAATTTTGCGGGTTTCATTTTTATTACACGATGTTATTCCTTCAGCGTGGAAATCAATCGTGAACATTTGTTGAGTACGTATTTCATTAGAAAAATTGGTATCAGCCTGAGATTCGAACACCTGTGCATCGCTCAACACGAATGCACCGGACGTTTTATCTATTAGGCCACGACGACTTCAAATTAACGGCCGTCTGGTGTAGTGGTAAGTGACATGGTCACTACACAAGGGGGTTCGAATCCCGCCAAGGGAAAATATTTGTATGATAAATATAAATGTCTTTTCCAGAGTTATGGATGTATATTAAATATATGTATGTGTATAATAAAAATCTTACATTCATTTCCGTTATCTGGTACCTGTAACACAAGTTCTTTACGAACTTATCACGGGACCAGTTAACGTGGCGTGATTGTTAGTAAATATTTATTATTATTATTAAAAGGTGCTATGTGCCTATAAAACATAGACCTTAAAACGCGTGTTGTAAAGGCTATTTTTAGAAATTGCAAGCGATGAAGGTGCTATATACGAAGAAAAACTACAAGTCATTCCCGCAATTAACCAAAGGGAAACGCGGGTGACTGAAAATCAGCGCTGTTCGATTTATCGACTTTGAACAGTATTAGCTGAGTCACCTCCTTTTGCCTTTTCTTTTTTTTGTCTTTCCTTTTATATGTATTTTATTCTATTTAATATGAAAGGAAATAAATGATTTTATTATTATTATTAATATTATTAACAAAAGTTTGTTGCTCGTTTTCTCAAAATTATCAAATTGTATCATATCCCCTTCATCAACTCGTGTCTTCAATTGTGAACGTGGCCAGTCTCTTTTGCCCCCGTTGTAAAGCGGAAGAAAGATAACCTTATGCATTCCATTTTCACATCCAGATTAAGGCGGTCAATCTCCACAACGCTACAGTCCGCAGAAAAATCAGTGTGTGGCAGCAGCCATGATAGAACAAAAGGTATTCGACTGAAGCGTATATTGCACTAAAGACATGTTCGCTGATAAAGTACAAGTTGAGACCGACAACATTCGCAGCGTCGGTCTTCAGAGCAACTTCATCCGTTTGGTAGAAGATATTGTCTTCATTGATCCCTCCAAAAGTGACAGGTTTTTTGGCAAACCAGGCATGATAGATTGGTTCCGATGTAGTCTCACTTGCTTTCCACGTAAGTATTAAAAGGAAAAAAGGATATAAATTTTGTTTAATATCAAAGTTAGGTACCTTCCCAATGCTTGCAATAATACAGATCTCCCGAACAATGATTGATAAATGTGTAAATCTTTAAGTATTTCCCGTAATTCCTGTTCACGTTCAGGCAGACCGGGGAGTAGGTGTCTGGGCACGAGTAGGGACACAAGTGAAGATCAAATGCCGTATCCACCTCGTACAGAGTACTATAAGTCGCTTCTTGAGATCGGAGTGGTGCCTCTGAAAAGGTTATGCATAAAACTAACGCGACCCACAGTGGAACTTCGCTAAATCGCTTAGTATTTTCACTAAAAATATCTACCAGCTTTATCTCTGAGTGAACAAGATGAGCTCATGAAAATTGTGCATGCCAAGAGCTCTAGACTTGAAGAAGAACATGACACAGCAAGAATTTTGTTACGCCGGTAAGAGTCACGTCATCTATCGCCGAATAGCCGAAACGAATATCAAAGGATCTAGTAACGTCTAGAACGTTCGAGAAGTGGAACGCCATCTATTGTCAGATAGCGGAAACACACAAATCGAAAATACACGACTTGTGAGGAATGTTCTCGACGATTCTAGGGATATCGTATCAACTATAAAAGCGTTGCAGAGATGGCACGCAGTCAGCCAGTAATGATGAAGGTTTGGGCGGCTGTGGTGCAATTATAGAAAGTTAACGAAGTCATTTCAAACAATTTCTCAAAGCAAACCACAGTACACTTTAGTGGGGTTTTTATTGCTATAGAAAGAAACATGAAGTAACAGCTTAGTTTACCTAATGTGATTAAGATTATTTAGTACAGTGTTGTCCACAGGCAGGCGTGAAAAACGAAACGACATAGAGACAGACGCTGAAATCGGATTAAATTACACACAAATTACGTAACAATACTTACTGGTTACGTAATCGAATCTATCTGTTCTATTGTTAAATTGTAGAGTGAAGTTTTGATTTAGTTTAGCGCTACTTGCAGTTTCGTTTTCTGGTTTAGACGAATCCCGTCTTGCGTTCAAATATTCTGAACAAGTACCATCACTGATTATGTAGTATTCTGAAAATTTTGTGAATTTTAACACTCGGCAAAACCGCATCTCTACTGCGTGTCAAAAGATGAAATATATCGTGTGAGGAAAAACTCAAACAGTTTCTTTAAAGAGTCTTTTTGGACGTGATAACATCTTATAAATCGAAGAAAACCGGCTGCACGCACGAATAAGTGTCACGTTCCGCCTGAGCCTGAGTGTATGAGCACGGAACAAGCGATAGAGAGGCACCAAGCCTCGGCCCAAGCGCTGGCTTGTGACACATATATCTCTCTCTCACGTGACGTCAGAGCTAGCAGTTCGAATAGTTCCGCTACTGACGTTATCGCGTAAAACTATCGTCCGTAAACCGACTTTACATACAACCAATTATTATTATTTTTCATTACAGTTTAGTTTCGACTATTTAGTCACCGTTAACGCGGTTACCTATTTTTATTTTAGGCCTACGCTATGAATATAATGTAGGTTGTACCTAATCTCACTTCCTTTACGCATGAAATGAGGAAATATGAAGAAAAAAAACGTTAGCGCTTCGAAATAATAATAATAATAATATATATTCAAGCCTCTTAAAATACAAACACGAACAAAAATACTTCATCATCATCATCATCAGCCTGCGGCAGTCCACTGCTGGACATAGGCCTCCCCCAAAGCTCGCCACTGAACCCGATCTTCGGTTCTACGCATCCAGTTAAAAATACTTAACACTAGTATAATAATATACATGGCTTTTTTATGAGGTATACAATAACAATATTCCCTGACTTTTATGCTAGGAAAAACCTGTGTTACAAAAGTCAGTGGTTCAGTGCTAGGTCACCAGGTAAAGAAAGTTAACCAGGAAGAACGATCTGAAAGAATATAGTACGTACGTGTGTGTGTGTGAGTGTATGTGTTAGTGTGTTTGTGTGTGTGTGTGTGTGTCATACAATAAAGTATATAATATTAAATGCCTGACAGAAGCGATAGTAACCTAAACTAATCTAAGTTGAACTATTTAATATTGAAATTGTTTAATTTGAGAAAAACTTACGTTATCACTTAAAATTTATAGGTACATATATGTCGGAGAAGATCATTAGTTTGGTAGCTAAACGAAACGCAGCACGATTTCCGAGAGATGGCAGCACGATTGCGGTATCGTCGGAACTCGGCTAAGTTCGTGCTACGTCAGAGTCTAGCCGATGGAGGCGCGTAGACGCCATCACACAAGACATACTAACCAGCCTTCTTGAAGAGCGGTGCTTCCGTCTTAAGAGCTGTCATTCGTTTTCGTTTGCCAAGAGAAGATTTCTAAATTGTTCTAAGTTAACAAACGTGAATGGTGTACTCAATATTTCTCTTAGCTCGATCACCCTATTCACCCCTACGATGTCCGACGATTGTATTAATAATTGTGTTTCTCCAATATATACATTATTATGCTAATGTAAGGAATATTGTAACATAAATTGAAAATGATATATAAATAGTTAGGAGTTACATAGGTTCTCAGTACCGCTGCCACGTTCGTGAGAGAAAGGGAAGCCAGACTGGTGCCGTAACGCGTTACGTAACGAAGCGGTTCCCCCCAAAAGTAGTTATCACTTCAAAAACACTAAGTTTTGTATCAAAATTTGCCACTGGTCGGTCCCGATTATAGGGATGTGTCATAACAGCCTCTATACTCAATTACTTAGGATTTCAATCGATTACAGTTCTTACCGTTGTCCGGTGTATCACACATGTTCTCCAGTAATAAATAGCAGGAATTAACGAAATCTTTATATTCCCGCTGATTATCGTTCCTAACGGCACATAGCAATGTATCATTCGACTTACAAATCGCATTCCTACTGATGCAAATCGATTTTATCCTATCGATGTTCAAATGTGTAAAACTATCGTTTTTAGTTCCGTTCGAATCTGGCAGCTGTGTATTCAATAACGAACTCGAAACGTCAAGAATAGGCAAAACTAAAAACGCGCGAAATACGCGAAAATAATCCATTTTATGTTACGATATAATTTATGGAGGTTATAAAAAAATACATTTTTATAATAGTTTTCGTTTGATTTTACGTTCGTCCATCAAACGCGCCTTTATTTTATTCTTGATAAAAGAGAGTTTTAAAATTAACAAAACATATTAACTCTTTGGCTGTTTCCGTTGCTGCATAACAATTTACTGTTACAAAAAATAAATAAAATAACAAACATTTAAATTTTAACAAAAATATTTATTTTCAAGTATGTATAAGATTTCTTAAATAAATAAATATATTTTTAGAATACCTTACAAAATATTGCTTCAAATCTGTAATTATAGGTAATATTTTTTAAACATGATAAATATTAAATAGTCAATAATTCAAGTTATGGTATGTATAATTATTATACACAAATATATATTAATTGTATTGTTAAAAAAAATAATGAGTCCTTTATAAACTATATACAAAATATTGTATAAAAACTACTGCTGATTTTTCTGGTTCTACATGAATATTATAAATATACTTAGACTAGAAAGTCAAAGTAACTTTAAGTTAATTCAACTTAATCTCACAGATTCGCAGTTTGGATACCGAAATTTATACAAAAAAATCATTAATAAATAAAATGCAACTTACATTGTTAACAAGATATACAAGAAATTAATTCAGAACAAAATGAATTACACTCTTTTTTTGGTAACTTCTAAGCCACTGGGTATGTTTCTATCGATAATTCTACAATCCATATTTTAAATTAATTTGATTTTTTACTTAATAATAAACTTATTTAGGTCATCAAAATTTTCATAAAAATAGCCTCTAGTGGACTGCTTCAACCATTTATGGCAAACACAAACGGACAAAGCTGTTTGAAATAAATTATCTAAACAACTTCAAAATCATGGCCTCATCTTGATAATATAAATACATTTACATACATTTTTATTTTCAAGAGATTTTAAACAAATCTGTTACAGAAACTCGGCTATATGATTACGAATAGAATCGAAACAGATTTGATTAGTTTATTTATAGTACTTATAGTGGCATCTTGTCGGGTAGTGGCATTTTGTCGAGTAGTGGCATTTTGTCGAGTAGTGGCATTTTGTCGAGTAGTGGCATTTTATTGAGTAGTGGCATTTTGTCGAGTAGTGGCATCTCGTCGAGTAGCGGCATCTTTTCGAGTAACGGCATGTGTCTCGGACTTGGTGATTTTTTTATTTTATTTTATTGTTAATTTATATTTTACTCGTTGCGGGTAATAACCTCATGGCCTCCCTGTACCCGGTATCCGTGGCACCGTGTACAGTCGAGAAATGAGTCGGATCCGTGGCTTCGCCGGCGAACAGGACCCTTGGTTTCCCGGCAGAGTCCAGCAACGGTTCGCCCAAGTGGATCCTGGCGTCAGGGTACTTTGGCGCGTCTACGTTATCGTAAGTGTAGCTGCCTCGTGTGAACGGATTGCTGTGCCAGTCCGACCTAGGCATGAACGTTTATTAATTCAATTCAACTCAAATGATTTATTTGCCAAAGACATGATACACAATACACATGGTAATCAACAAATTAAAGACCGGACGGTTAGCGTGGTATGGACATGTGATGCGTAGAGAGACTAGGAAATGTATGGAAATGGTAGTGCAAGGTAGAGAGGGAAGATGTCGATCAAAGAAGACATGGATGGAGTGTGCGAATGACGATATGAGAGAGAGAGAGGAGTGAGTGTTGAGATGACGACTGATAGAAGAGAATGGAAGAGCTGTCCCCGAACCTGTCGCTTGTGACGAAGGGATCGGCGAGTTAATTAACCCACAGACACAGCCCACTGAGTTTCTCGCCGGATCTTCTCAGTGGGTCGCGTTTCCGATCCGGTGGTAGATTCTGCGAAGCACGGCTCTTGCTAGGGCCAGTGTTAGCAACACCTCCTGGTTTGAGCCCCGAGAGCACGCCTACACACTGGGATTACGATGATATAGCCTCTCAAGGCTATCAGCTTAGGTAGGAAAAAAAGACCTTCTCATCTAAAAACAAAAACACTCACCTTATCATTGCGACCGGTTCCGGTATAGTGAAGTGTTTGCCCAGAAATTTCCTGAGTATCTCCATTATTTTACTTTTGACCACGTCTTCGGGTAACTTCTCCACCTTGAAGGTATTCGATCCAGTTTAAAATAGTCTGGTCTTACGTTAAGATATCAAGAAAAGAATACATCCAGGTGACCCTCCTATAACGCGGTATTTTATAACACGGTTCCACTATAACACGAAAAGAAAAATTCCCTAAAACCCCCTTATATGTAAATACGTGTATAACCCAACTATGAAATGCGTACTTAACAAATGTTCACGATTGACTTCAACGGTGAAGGAATAACAGAGTGTAATAAAAATCGAACCCGCGAGACCTTAGAACTTGTACCTCAAGGTGGGTGGCGCATTTACGTCATAGATGTCTATGGGCTCCAGTAACCACTCAACACCAGGGGGCCTGTGAGCTCGTCCACCCATGTAAGCAATAAAAAAATAAAAAAAATAAAAAAGGTTGAGATGTTTCCATTCAGAAAAAATCCTCTCTCCTTTTTATACTGGCTTCTGGTCTCATAACGCGGTTTCGCACAACACGGGACTTTGTAGGAACGTATATACCGTGTTATAGCAGGGTGACCTGTGTATATATAAGGATATAACAACCTTAGAGACTTGGACCTCATAAGGTCGGCTATCACTTAAAACGAGAACCGTGGTCTCTGACCGGCCTTCCAAAAACAACATACACCAAAAATTACTGGTGTTAGGACCTCTTGTGAATCCGTACGGGTAGGCACTACCAGCCTGCCTATTTCTACCGAGTAGCAGTTTCAAAGGTGGGTGGCGGCATAATGTTGTTGAAGTCTATGGGCTCTGGTAACTATTTAGCAACCGGGTGGACTGCGAGCCGTCCACTTGTTTAAGCAATAAACAATTTTAACCCCCAATCATACAATCATGCACAAGATACACATAAGACAAACATGCACATGGCTATTAAAGTTGTAATGTAGTTAACCCTTTCGCTACTATCGACACTGGCCACAAAACTCCGCCTATACACGATGGGTGACTATAGTCACTGGCCACAAGACTTCGCCTATACACGATGGGTGACTATAGCCACTGGTCACAAAACTTCGCCTATACACGATGGGTGACTAGCCACTGGTCACAAAACTTCGCCTATACTTGATGGGTGATGTGCGCACGTTCAGTACTGATGTCAGTTTCCTGGGAAACACTTTACAGCCGCCTGTCGCATGCCGTAGCGAAAGAGTTAATCTAATGAATAGGACGCTTAAGTTAATTAAAACTACTTTTACAGGTTTAATCATGCATTTCCTATTATCATTATAGCGAGAGGTTAAAGACTGTTTGGTTTAATCGCCATTTCACTTATACACGCGACATTTATCTTCGTAATTAAAGGTGCGTTTTATTAGCATCAACAGTTCGATGTTTTTAATTGGACTTCTGTTAAATTCAAATATTCATTAAACTTTAAATGGGTCTCCTGTAAAGTCGCAAAAATATCGCTCAAAACAAACAGTCTTTCACCCCTCGAGATAACCAGGCTTCGAACGATAGCGGAATGTATACAAACCAGTTTGGCCCCGTTTCCACTTGTCCACAACGTCATGGATATATCGGATCCTTTGGGGCAACTGGCGCCAAAAATTTGCGTCATCCACATATCTTCACTCCTCACCCTCTTCAGGCAATTCTCGTCCCACAGAAACCCGAAGAAACTAAGACCTTTCGGCCACCATGCCCGTTCGAACGACAGTACAATCTTGTCTACAACTCCTATAGACGTGCTGTTTATTGCTTTTATTTTTTTTCCTGGTAGGGTAGGTCGAAATAATGTTTTGTGACTGAAATTACCAATGTTAAATGTGCGTGTTAGTTCCGTGCGCTGTGCTAATGTCCATGTCAGTGCATTATACCAGATTATTGGCCGGTTAATTGAGTGACAAAGTCGGGAGATTTTTACGTAGTTGTGACGTAATAATAATAATAATTAATATTTGTGTCGGTTTGATAGTGAAAAGTTTCAATCAACACCTTAGGAAACTTTCGTTATCTAGCTGGGTTAGGGGCCTGATACAGAAGGCAGTTATCCTCGATACTGCGCGCATTGTGAGGAGGTTTCTCACTCTGGAGTCCTAACCATTAGTGGCTTGTGTCGTAGACACCGCCATCAGCGACAACCTACTTTTATATACCTAGTGTTTTTTAAAAATTGTATATTTTTATATCTTTTAAAAAAAATTGTATACGTAATTAAAAAAAATTTAAATAAATATATATGTAGATAATAATAATAAAGCTTTTTTTTTAACGTGATACAAGATTGCGAAACAGGATAATTACGAATATTATCGCGAGTACATTAATCGATTTTATAATAAGGCACGTTCGAGACGAGTTATCCGGATAAAAACTGACGGCGAATCTATGGTTCGAATGCGATGTGAATTCAGAATATTTAAATTCCTTTTAAAACAACGGATAGTAATTGTTTAATCGATTGGCTGTTAATTAGTTTCATTTGTGTCAGGGTGAAATATATAATATTATTGTATTTATCATTGGTTCTTTATGTGTAAATAATAGAGAAATTGTCATTATATTATTGACTAGCGACTCGCCCTCGCTTCGCTTCGGGAACATTAAATTTTATTATTGACAGCTGAGTCAATGCTAGCTAGTGGTAGGCAGCGGCTTGACTCTGCCCCTGGCATTGCTGAAGTCCATGGGCAACGGTAACCACTCACCATCAGGTGGGCCGTATGCTCGTCTGCCTACAAGGGCAATAAAAAAAGTGTGTGTGTCCGCTCCTACGCACGACTGGAGTTTACTGGATATAAAAAATTAAACGAAACAATACGAGAAATAGTTCTATATTACGACAACACGATACACTACAGATTATTAACAAATTAACGAGACACAAAACAAACGACTAACAAATATATGAAAATACAATAATGAGAGAAACGCGCGATCAGTACGAGGCTTTGTGGCGGACTGCCGGCGCAGCAGCCCGGCGTCACCTGCGATAACGCGGCCGCGCGTTGGCTCCTGATTGGCGCGCGCACGCATCACGCAATCAGGAGCCAATCAGGCGCATAACGCATTTCGTGTGACATGCTAGTACGATTTTGGTCCCCATAATTTTCATACCCCGGGCCTATATATGTAAATCGATTCTAAAGGAGTAAACTCCAAAAAAAAAAAAAAGTCCGCGATGTTACCCGCGGTTATTGCTAGTCTAAAAAAAGTAGCCAAGTTACTCCTTATATCTTCAGCTACCTATCAGTGAAAGTCTCGTCAAAATCGGTCCAGCCGTTCCAGAGATTATCCGATACAAACCGACAGACAGACAAAAATTGCAAAAAAAATAATTTTGGTGTATGTACCGTATACATATTAATATGCAAGTAGTAAAAAGCTGTTATTTCAATATTACAAACGTACACTCCAATTTTGTTTATTTGTATAGATATATAGTTTGTTTTCTTTTTCAAACGGTAAGTTCAGCGCTGTTATCAGATGATTATTCACCTGTGGTTATCCGGAAGGCATCGCTGCCAGCGAGAGCCACCATTTTCCCAAATCTATATCAGACAGGCAGCCGATCGTGACGACTCGTGACAAATCGTCCGCAGCCGGATCTTCAATCGCGAACCACGCGATTTTAATATACGAGGTTACTTTAGTAGGGTTCTTATTTAGGCAGTCAGCTGCTTGTGTGTGTGTGTGACGGCGCCGACCATGCGTTCTTGTCGGAAGGACACCAAAGCCACCATTAAATCCGAGCCAGCGGTAAGCATGCAAGATTCCACATATCACTGACCATCATCGCGGTGTCGTATTTCATCCAAAACGTCAGGCATTTCTCGCAGCCCTTCGGTACGGTATAGCCTACGATATCGGTGGTCCAATCGTCTGTCTCGTTCTTGCTAAGGCCATCTCCCTTCAGCCAGAAGAGATAGAAAGCTTCGCGGTCCGCACGCCACCATTTCACGTCGAAATGAAAAACAGCTTTGCCTATCAAGCCCATGGCTATTTTGTTGATGGCGGTTACTTTAGTTTGTGGTAGCGTTGGCGTGAAAAGTGCGCTGTGTCTGAAATTATTTCCTTTTTTAGTGTTACCATGTTGACATTGACAGCTTGAATATGCCCCAAGGCCGGTGCCCTCATCACGTTATATATAACATGATTTGTATTAACATTGGAATGACTGATTTCAAGTCATTCTCGGTATGAATTGGGTGCTATGCACGAGATGAGGCAGCTGGGGAGCCGAGCCCCCACCCCGACGTAAGCACCCCCATAAAAATCATGATATATTTTTTTACTACCTATTCTAGTAACCCCGAGTGGTTATTCTAGATTCACAGAATTAGTAGATGAGCTCACAGGGTTCAAACCTGACGTCGTTGCTAACACTAACCCTAGCAAGAGCCGTGTTTCGCAGAATCTACCACCGGATCGAAAGCGCAACCCACTGAGAAGATCCGGCGAGAAACTCAGCGAGCTGTGTCTGTGGGTTAATTTACTCGTCGAGCCCTTCCGACCCGAGCGACGGGTTCGACGAGAACGATGACCGTTCAATCAAAGGCCTAACGTGGAGTCTTTGTTCTACAATTTGTTTGATGAATTAATCACAACCGCTCATATGTCGTATTTATTTGTAATGTTAATTAAAAAATTTAATCTCCGCCTCAAGAAGAAAAAAAAACCCATTATCCCTCGATTAGTAAATTCGAGGGGTGAAAAGCTATCTGGTTTAAGCGGCATTTTGCTTAATACGCGACATTTATCTTTGTAATTAAAGATCCGTTTTATTCGGCATTAGCATCATATTTGTTTCTTTTTTTTCAAAATTTATATTACAAACCGCTCTCCTATAAAATTGCAAAAATGTCGCTTAAGCCGAATAGCGTTTCAGCCCATATATAATATATACACTAGATGTACCTGCCCGCTTTTTAAAATTAATATTATTATTTCTCCCCCCACAAAGATTCTCATCATTAACACCCCCGCAATGGATGTAGGGAGTCCAACACTCATATAAATATTAGCCTATCCATTAAGTACATGTATTTTCTACATGGATACCAAGTTTCAAGTCAATCGGATGCATGGTTCAGTAGTTATAACGGAACATCCGTAAAAACCACTGTAGTTTTATATATTAGTATATATATATATTAGAAATAGTGAGATTGTTTGTGCGTAAATATTGAACATAGCCCCGTGCGTCCCGCAATCTGATAAGCGCTTTAACGAACCGATTTGGCACCATCACCAACAATCCACAACGTGACCGAATCATTCGAAGACATCGGCTGAGACGGGCCCTCCATTTTGCTCATCCACTGATCCTCGTCGCTCAACGAGTCCAGGTCCTGTTTGCTCCACAGGAAACCGAGATAAACGATATCGTCCGGGAACCACTTCGCCGGAAACGACATGGCAACTTTAGCTATGACCCCGACCGATATTTGTTGGATCGCGGATATTTTCCTCGACGGCAACACCGGCGTGAACAGTTTATCGTATCTGTGAATTTTTTTGGGAATTGAATTTAAAAAATTATATATATTTGCCAATACTCCCGCTGAAACTCCCCTATTTATCCCTTTTTTTCTTACCTATGCTGATAGCTTTGAGAGGCTAAATCAGCATTGCCCTAGCGTGTAGGTGAGCTCTCGGGGCTCAAACCAGGAGGTTTTGCTAGCATTGGCCCAAACAAGAGCAGTTCTTCGCAGAATCTACCACCGGATCGGAAACGCGACTCACTGAGAAGATCCGGCGAGAAACTCAGTGGGCTGTGTCTATGGGATCCATCCCTAAATAATAACGAAGGCGAAGGGTATACAAAAAACTACGTTATGGTCAGAATTTTAAGTCAATTACGGATTATAGGCAATAATAAAATTGTCATACTTTTTATACTTTTTTTATTGCCCTTGTAGGCAGACGAGCATACGGCCCACCTGATGGTGAGTGGTTACCGTCGCCCGTGGACTTCAGCAATGCCAGGGGCAGAACCAAGCCGCTGCCTACCGGCTTATAAGTGTGAGAATTGTCAATTTAATCTCGAAATCTCGCTGAAATAGACCTTCAAATATACACCATTACATAGATATATAGATACAGGACGAGATAACAGAAAAAGCTATAATTTTTTTTTTATAAAAAGTCTCAAAAATCGAAATAAGTTCATGGAGATTAAATTTTCGTTACACGGTGTTATTCCTTCATTGTGGCCACTGAGTTTCTCGCCGGATCTTCTCAGTGGGTCGTGATTCCGATCCGATGGCAAATTCAGTGAAGCACTGCTCTTGCTAGGACTAGTGCTACCAAACTCTCTCAGGTTGAGCCCGTGAGCTCTCCTACCCGTCTGAACGTAGCTGGAATAGCCACTTAGGCTACCACCGAATAAGTAGGGAAAGGGGATATAAAGAATGTCTTTGACAAAAATGCTTTTCTAATATTAAAATTGTGATTTGGATAATTAAAAGTTGGAAATTCTTGTCGTAAACCGCCTCAAAGTCTAAAATGGTTTCTTAGATAAATCGGTCTGGCCTGCGTGCGGGATTTCAACACAGATATAGTCGTATCGCTTGACGTGAGAGCATCGGCATCATTTAAGGCAGAATAGAATAGACAGATTTGTTTCTTTTGTAAATAGAAATAGCGTCCGCGCGTATCTGGAATAGCCTTTTAAGGCTACCAGCGGGTAGATACGGAAAATAGGGTCGTTAGTTCGATTCTCGCATCGGGCAAACGTTGATGTGACGAACAGGTTTGTTTGTTCTTTGTTTTAGTGTTAATTATCTATATATGTATATATTTAAAAGTATATAAGTGTGTATGTCAGTCTCTGGTATCCATGACACAGGGTATTTTAAATTGGAGCAGGATGACCGTGCGTGATTTGTTCCGCGTTGTTATCATTATTATTATTATTATTTTTATTATAAATGATAAATCTGAAATCACATTTAATTAATATTCAAGGTATTATTATTTTTGAAACGGCCGTCAATTATATTATCAATAATACATACTGTATTCGTTATCTTTGTACAGTTGGCTCATTATAAAAACATTTTATGATAGGAATAAATATAGCTGCAATTTATGAAGAATTTTTTTTTTCCATTCTTGTTCGCCGAAAACAAATAAGATTTTTTATACGTAAAAGTTTCGACTTTCGAGTTTAGTTCAATTATAGGAAGTTTGGTCCTAATACGTCATATTCGTATGTGCTAAAAGACATTAAAACTAGTTAGTTACATTTGAAAAAGCTTTAAAATCGCATGGTCATTAGATCTCTTCTAGCTTTATTTGCCGTTGTTCGTGTCCACTAGCGACGCTGACTACTTACCAACAGACAGGCCGTATACTAGCCAATCTATATTGGTAATAAAATAGGCTACAACACCTATATTCAAAAGTGTACTTTCGAAAATATGCTTCTTAGCATTTGGTCCTGCTACTAATTCCCCTCTACGATGTTTTGTGAGCGTCCTCTCCTTCTTCAAAGGCTTTAATGAGCACCAATGCTCATGGACGTCGATGACCATTCTCCATTCGATAGAAAACCAAACTCTAACACAGAAAAATTGATTCGATTAACAACATAAATAACATACCTTTCCTTCAAAACCCCCAAAGATACTGTTACTATGACATTGTTCGCGGTATATTTGGTGCCATCTTTGCAGCTCACCGTGACCAGCTGCTCTGGGTCCGTTGGCCATTCGATTAGGACCACCTCCTTGTTCAGCTGTATTTCCAGATTAGGGTAACCGGGACCGCCCTTATACGTGTTCTGGGATAAAACAACAGGCATCTTATAACGCCGATAACGAACTTTTCCAATGCGCTCCTAACTCGCATCGTGAATATTGCCAGCCTATCGTAGGTTTGATTAGCGCATCGGGCAAACATTCGTATGATGAACAAATTTGTTTGCTCTTTGTCTGGGTACTTTAACGTATATATATAAGTAGGGTCAGATAACCACGCGTGACTTATCCTTGGTTATTATGGCTATGTAGAGACATGAGTTCGAATCGTATTGTGTAATGGATGACCAGCCCTACATACTCCAAAGCATGATTGCTTTGCAGGAGTATAGGAAAGATCGTGGTCCTATTGCTAGTTGGAGACTGCAGTACGTCTATTGTGACCACTGCTTACCGTTTTCCACTGAATCCCTAAGTCACCTTAAGAACAGCAAGAGTAGAGGGTGTTTCTTTTAGTCCAAGACTAAAGAAAATCAGGCTCGAAGGCACAAACTAGCTTACCAGCAATATATCGAACAGGGTGCTGTATCCGTTCCTGTGCCAGCTCATGTGCTGATCCCCTTCCAAGTCCACGTAGTGCGTCTGAGTAGTCACATCGTTCCAGCTGTTAGAAGCCTCGTAATTATCGACTAGAAGATCGAGGAAATGAAGGATTTCGTCGACGTAATCTTTATCTTTCAACACGTCCGGGTGTTTCTCACCTAAGTACTCCTTAATTCTGGAAAATCGTTGTAATTGTCAGTAAAATTTACGAAAATGTCCTTTTCTCCTCGTAAGCGCTCCTAAAGCTTTGCTTATAATGGAACTGGTGGTAGGACCTCTTGTGAGTCCGCACGGGTAGGTACCACCTATTTCTGCCGTGAAGCAGTAATGCATTTCGGTTTGAAAGATGGGGCAGCCGTTGTAACTATACTGAGACCTTAGAACTTATAACTCAAGATGGGTGGCGCATTAACGTTGTATATGTCTATGGGCTCCAGTAACCACTTAACACCAGCAGGTGGGCTGTGAGTTCGTCCACCCGTGTCAGCAATACAAAATAAAAATAAAAACTTAATATAGTTCTTGTTTGTGCTTTAGTGAAGCTTTTGTTTTACTTTCAATACCAATAGTACATGTCGAAGGGTAATAAGGCTATTTGGTTTAAGCCACATTTTGCAAGTTTACATGCGAGTCATTTAAAGTTAAAAAATTTGAAAAGAATTATTGTAACAAGAAAACTTCTTCAGTTATTTGAATGTGGTAGACATAACAACCAGTAAGTAATACTTCAATCATTAATAACAAAACGACAGTGAACAGTTAAAAAAAATGGTGCGCGCACAACTTGGTGAAAGAAGTGAAACTTCTTTGGCGGTTGCGTTTTTTTTTATTGCCTTTGTAGGCAGGCGAGCATTCGGTCCACCTGATGGTAAGTGGTCACCGTCGCTCATGGACGTCAGCCAGGGGTAGAGCCAAGCTGCTGTCTACATGCTTCTTCATTTTTCATCCTTAAATCAAATTTCTCTCGTAATAGGAAGAGAAACCTAAACCAATTTAGCCTTTCCCTCTCTCCACGGTCGAGTGAGACGCTGTCTATTTTCTCACTCTCGCTCTTCCTAAATTGTATCTTTTCTCTCTAGCTGTAACGAATCTGTTGCGAGTTAAATTTTACTCTCAACGTGCCTAAAGAAGTTTCACTTCAAAAATAAAATGAAATCACGTTTTCGGTAGGCAGCGGCTTGGCTCTGGCATTGCTGAAGTCCACGGGCGACGGTAACCACTCACCATCAGGTGGGCCGTATGCTCGTCTGCCTTAAAGGGCAATAAAAAAAAATAAAAAATAACTTCGTTGTGATGAACTGTCCCAGAGGCTGAGGAGTCTCGGGTGGATGCTCTTGAACCTCCAGGGTGTATTCGAACAGCTCATTGATGAGAGCCGTGTCCGCCTTCGTTCCATTCGAACGATACGCTTCGAAGCCCAGGTTCTGAGATATGATGGAGACGTTGTTCTTGATGGCCAGATCGTAAACACGACTCGGATGGGTCCCATGGATCCTGAAAGAGAAATTTTTATTTTTTATTTTTTTATTGCCCTTGTAGGCAGACGAGCATACGGCCCACCTGATAGTGAGAGGTTACCGTCGCCCATGGACTTCAGCAATGCCAGGGGCAGAGCCAAGCCGCTGCCTACCGCTACATGCGGCCTATGTAGCGGTCTCGATCGATGTTAATTTTGACATTTCATCATCTACCAGTTATAAATGGACTAGTTTTTGCCCGCGTGGAATACTTCGTCCGCGTGGAATGATCACAAATAATGCTTTATTTTAGAACAAATTTGGTTAGCATAAAAAACGTTATAGTGAGTCAACCTTAATATATAGACATATGCTGTCGCGGACTTTTTTTCAGATCTTTTAAAAGGGAACAATTCGGTCATACATTATTTTAGCGAAACTTTGACCGTTTCTGCATCGCACGCAGCGGAAGTTCTCAAAATTAATTCTTCAAATTTTTTTTAATTTTTCTGATAGTAAACATTAAATTACTACTAATGTGATTGCCTTTTCCTGAATCATATTGTGAAAACAGAACATTTTATAAAAATTTATCCACAAATGCGATGCCCCTATCTCTTAGGGTCATCTACTAAACGTTATTATCAACAAGTTAATTTATTTAATGCCCATCTTCATACATGTGTGATGCTTGAATAATTTTATATACTAATACAAATATACTCACCATTCAGCTCCAAGTTCAATCACTCCATCACCGAAAGGTACTGTTTTAACTCTCCCTCCGATCCTATTCTGTGCTTCCAGAGCTAGTATTTTTTTGCCAGCCTGAGCGAGGGTTGATGCTGCAGTACAGCCGGCCGGCCCAAGTCCTACTATAATGGTATCATACGTTGTGGCCATTGGGCTGTAAGAAAATTATTTTGCTCATTTAAATTTCTAAACGCAAGGCTTTGTTTAACAGATTAATCTCATGGAGCAGATTGTTGATGTTTTAAATTTTTTAAATGAAACTATCATCAAAGATTTATGCTCGTGATTTATGCCAAGCGAGCACAAAAATTCAATTCATACTGACCTCAGCTGTATTAAAATAGATAAAATAAAAATTGGATCATAGAATCGAAATACAAGATTCACATTAAGTGTTTGTTTGTTAATTCAGTAATTAAGTTTTACTAAGGGAGAAACTGCATATTTTCTGTTGTCATTAGAATTGTTGTCTTTTAACATAAACCTATTTTTGATTAGAAAAAACACAGATCAACACTTTTAACTAGCTACATACGTATGTCATATGTATGGATTACAGTTTCAGGCGATATGAAACTGTTAGTTGAGGCGACTACAGAGAATCATGAGTGAAAAGTTTACATGCAAAGCGAATATAACAGAACAAGTAACTCAATAATAAATAAGATTGCGCAGGATCAATTTTCAAATAGTAAAAATTATATCGTAATAATTTACGTATTTTGGAACTGAAAGATCGGATCTAATCCGAAATAAATATATAGATTTGATTATTTCTTTATATTACCCAGTTTTAATACGTTTTATGGAATTTTTTAATAAAATAGCGCTTTCGGAGCAACATAGCGAAATTAAGGTTACTTTTAAATGAATATTAAAAAATATACGTATTAAAAGTATAAGAATGGAAATAAAGACCAACCTGATTTGTGGATAAGAACACGATTAATGAACAATGTCTTGAATATTTAAGAATTTGTACACTTATTTAATTATTTATAAAGTAAACAAAACAAATCCTTTGTACTGCAGTTGTCAATATGGTATGGTGTATGTCACTGTCATTACATCAAATTCATTTATGACAGTTCACATGGTTCACACAGAAGTCGTCTGTAATGTCTTCACAAACACATGTGTAATATACGTTATGTCATGTACCTAATTAGAATGAAGGAAGAAATAATTTTTCCATTACTGTAGTTTATCTACACGACCACAAGGCCAAGCTCCGGTTAAATTAAACCAAATAATAATTTGACCCTCCCCCCGGCTTAGATAACACTTTGAAAATATGTTTGTGAATGTGTATGAATGAGGCAATTTAGGAATATGTTAATTCAATATCATATCGTTGTGGTTTTAAAGATACACTCTCGGTGTCACCGTATCGAGGTATGCGACTATGCAAATCTCAAAAATAACATTTTTTTAATGAAATTTATACTTCACACACAACTTCCACGATAAACAAATAACATAGTGTAACAAAAAGTTATTCCGCAAAAATTGTAATTTGTGTAATTATTGTTTGAAGGTACAATCAACCTGTCTATCTCTGCCGAAAACCACTAATGCGTTAACGTTTGAATAATGGAGACAATCAGTTACAATTCAGACTTAGAACTCATGTTTCAAGATCGCTCGCGGGCATTGGGTCCTGTAACCACTTAATTCAAGATGTTCCGTCCATTTAAGCAATAAAAAAATCAAAATGAACAACCAACAAAGATAAACAACATAAATCAACGACTTAACTTACAACGGATGCCGTTATAACCAAATAGAAATTGCATTAGTGAATTGTTAGGTATCTCCATCCCATGGTTGTAAATAGACAAGAATTTGGTCCATCCGATGGTGAATGGTTACCGTGGTTAATATATGCCAATAATTCCAGGGTCAAGCCACTGCCAACCACTGAGTATTCTCAGCAAGCCTCTCCTGAAAAAGGACATTCAAAGCGCTCAGGATAGAGGGGAATTTATCCCAAAGTCGCTTGGCACTTAAGAGAAGAGATCTCTGGGAACGCACCGCGGATAAACACTGTGGTTCCAGGTATGTCTCTAATGCGGTGGTGGTAGATAATAAGGCCAAAATCATAGTTTCAGCTACGAAGACATTAAATTCAATATTTCTATTTATCAGCACAGTTATCTGCGCAAACAGATAAGTTTATCGGCCATCGAGATACCAACAAACACTTGAGCATTAAGAAAACATCTTTATAAATTCATATCAATACAAAATTTTACCATTAAAAATTAGCAATCACATTAGAACAATGCTGCTAATATTTTTATTCGCGTCAATTTTTTTTATGCATAGTGTGACAGCAGTTGATCCGCTCGTGGATTCGAAGATAGGGTTGATCAGAGGTGTCCAGTCTGAAGATGGAGAGTACTCTATGTTCCTCGGCGTTCCGTACGCTTTAGTCGATGAGAACAATCCGTTTGGGGTAAGTTTAATCGGTGTATCGATCAACCCTTTAAATTATTACTAGGAAAACTAGCTGCCCCGGTAAACCTTGTTTTGCCATATAAATTATTTCTAGGAAAGATAAATAACCTAGATAGCGACTGCAGCGCCATCTGCCGGGCTGATTTGTAAATCTAAACCATTCTTGAATCCACCAGAAGGTAAACAGAAAATTTCATTAAAATCTATCCCGGATAAGCATCTATGCTCCGGAAACGAATATATTTCTTATTTTGCAGCGATTTGTATCTGTCACAAAAAGCTACTTACGGTACCGTTAATACTTTACGTATGTTTTAGTTTAACTGTTAGCTAACAACAAATAAATCAGTTTTCTCATTACCGTCGACAGGCATCGACACCTCATCCCGGATTCGAGACGCCTTTCGAAGCGTACAACGATACAGCGGTGTGCCCTCAAATGTCGGGCCAGACTCCTATAGGAACACTACAATGTCTCCACTTAAACATATACGTTCCAAACAAAGCTACCACGAGAAATCGACACTAAAACCTATCGCTGTATCCAAACTAAATAACGAAATAGCTTTCACAATTGCCTCTAACATGGGATACGAAACTGACAATATAGAGAATGCTATAAGGTTTCTGTCAGAAAAAGACTCTGATTTAGTAATAGCGGCGACAAACGAAATAGAAAACGTTTATCAAATCATAAGACCGTGCGTGGATAGCGGGTCTGATGCCGTGATACCTGACCTTCCACAGAATTTGGGCAACAAGAAAATCAGCGGACTCAATTTGATCTACGGCTCGAACGGTGAAGAAATGCTGGCTTACTACAATAAATATTATAACAAAGGATCCTTCGGGAAAGTTCTAGAGATGGGCTTCGAAAATTTAAATGAGTCAATAGCGCAAATAATCCAACAGTTTTACGTTGGTGACGCTGAATTTAATGATAATATAATACCTGAATTTGTTCAGTTCGGTTCTGATTTCTTCTACAATCACCCTGTCGAAAGATCCATGAACAAAATGATCGAAAACGGAGCTAAAGACATATACTATTACGTGTTTAATTATAGCGGACACCGGAATGTTATGAGTAAGATTTTGAATATCGCTCATTCCGGTGCGACCCACGGTGACGAGCTTGGTTATCTGTTCGGGAACGATGCACTCAAGGACTCGCCAAACGAAGAAGATCAATTAGTTATAGATAGAATGACGAAGATGTGGACGGACTTTGCAAAGTTCGGGTAAGATTTATTTTCTCAAATCATAATTTCGCTCTGCATCTATTGCATCAAGATAATGATTAATGATTTATTAATGATGATGACTTACTGGTGGTAGGATCTCTTGTGAGTCCGCATGGGCAGGTATCACCACCCCGCCTATTTCTGCCGTGAAGCAGTAATGCGTTTCGGTTTGAAGGGTTGGGCAGCCGTTGTAATTAGACTTGAGACCTTAGAACTCATATCTCATATCAATTATTGGTAAATCAGAAAAACGAATTATTTACTTTGTATTCCATTGGCAGTCACAAGACTCTTCTGAACGACATCTTAGATAAATAACAGGTTAAGTATTAACCTTTATTTAATGCAGGTTTTGAACCGTATTCTTTGAAGGAGACGATTATATTCAAATCAATCTGTATTGACATATCAATAACATTTTTTTGTCCAAATGCGCAGATTGCCACCTTTGATAATAGACGACTCAAGTATGTCTATCAATCTCTAGTAGCCATAACACAGGGAATCCTAAATTGCGGCCGTAAGACCGTGCGTGATTTGTTCCCAGCTATTATTATTATAAATAAGCTTTTTGTTGTTGCAGCAACCCTACACCAGAAATATCGGACGCGATACCAGACAAATGGAAACCTGTCTCGACGAAGAAATATTACATGAACATCGATTCTAATCTAACATTGAAAACGAGACCTTTCCATGACAGAATGGCATTCTGGGATCTCGTTTACAAAGCCGTCCAGAACCCGGATCCTGTTACAGACAAGTTCGTGTAATAGAAACACGGACCATCCATTAATATAACGGAATATTAGTAAATAAATAATTTGAATTCGCTTCGAAATCAGGAATTACAAGCTTTACAAAAAAAGCTAGTGAGTATTGCTCACTCTATTTGTTCAAAAGCTTTGAATTTTACATTTATCTTCCTGAATTTTATGAAGCGATTTAAGGATTCTTTGGGTAACTCTTCAAATTAGATCAACTTCTTGCTCATTTCCTGTGGTCCAGTTATTCGACCGGAGTAAATGTTTGGCTGTCTGAAATGGCACCCTTAACACAGTCAAAAACATTGTGTCTGTATACATGTCATTTTTGTTTAGTACCTTATGTTTAGTAAATAAAAGATGTAAGAATTATTTCTAATAAGATTTTCGTATAAATACAATATTTCTCGGTTGTCTGTTGTCTCTGCTCTAAGCACAGCTTAGATCGCTGGAGAATTGTATCTAGTTTCCTTTTATAGTTTCATAGTATTTGTGTCATAAAATTAGTAATAGGAATAAATCACGTTGTAGTTTCTCGCCGAAGGTTCTGTGGGTCACGAATTGGATCGAAATCGTGACTCACGATTGTAGATTCTATACGTGTCATTACGTGTCTGTAAAACAACACACAAGGTGTCGGGTTATAAGTTGCGTGAAATAATTTAGGTTATTAAGTGGTCGCCCGGTAGTCGAAATTCGACCGTTATTATTATTTTAAATTATAAGTTTGAACATTATTATAGTTCTATAATTGTCAAAGACTTTACATTCATCACAGATTTCGCCAAAGCTACACTATAGACAAATAATATTAAGGCAAACATTAATAATCTATTCATCTCAATTGGACCACAGGCTTTAACAATAAACAAAAGAGTATAGGTGCGTGTGTATGACAAATACATGGTAGTGTGAGTAAAGGTTTTTTTATTGATTTGAAGTACATATGTTTAGGCAAAATAAAAAAATTGCATTCCGCACTCCTATATATTCTCTACTAGCGGCCCGCCCCGGCTTCGATTGGGAAGTAAGTAGCGCAAGCGATGTAAAGAATATTAGGTAATTTTTTTACACATTGGGTTATATTATTAGTGTTTCAGTGAGGATCCCTAATTTTTTTTTAAATATATTAAATATAGCCTATGTCACCCGGGGATAGCGTAGCTTCCCAACAGTGAAAGATTTTTTTAAATCGGTTCAGTAGTTTCGGAGCCTATTCAATACAAACAAACAAACAAATCTTTCCTCTTTATAATATTAGTATAGATAGGTGTGGGAAATTTCACTACTACAAATCACACTACTTCATACTACGCGGTCCATGTAATTTTCGTAAAAAGGGGTACAATGTTTTGCTTCACGTATTAATATATAGATTAACAGATTAGGTGCTTTAAAGTTTCCAGATTGATCTAATCCTCTCAACAGTATACTAACAGCAGTGCTTCAAGGAGCTAATTCAAAAGGTATTTTTGATTCGATTTATAGCTCAGCAATCGCCCAACAACAACGGCTCTGACGTTATCTCAACATCAGATAGCGATAAAATTAGATAATATACCTTTAATATCTTAATTGAATTATTGAATACAACGGAAAACCTCTCTAGTTAACAAATTACGACTCCTAAGATCTTTATCTAATCAAGATTCTGGACTAAAATAAAAGTAGTGCTAACAAAGTTTTTCCAGTCATGATTCAGACAATGCTGTTGTCGATTAGCGTTGCTCTCTTAGTGTGGATGGGTGGTGTGAAGTCGGATCCACTTGTGGACACTCCGGCAGGGTTGATCAGAGGTTTGCAATCAGTAGACGGAGAGTACTCTATGTTTCTCGGTGTTCCGTACGCTTTAGTCGATGAAAACAATCCGTTTGGGGTGAGTTTAGTAGATGCATTGATCATTCTTTACATTATTATTAACACAATTAGTGAGTTTAGTCGATTTTTAATGTATAACCCGTTGATTTTTATTTGTTGTTAAGATTTTATTAGTTTATTTATAGTACTTATCTTGTAGAGTAGTGGTATCTTTTTTTTTTATTGCTTAGATGGGTGGACGAGCTCACAGCCTACCTGGTGTTAAGTGGTTACTGGAGCCCATTGACATCTACAACGTAAATGCGCTACCCACCTTGAAATATAAGTTCTAAGGTCTCAAGTATAGTTACAATGACTTAGTTTTGTTTTAGTTTGTTTTTTGTTAGTTTTTATTTGCAGACTATGTTTTTTATTTTATAAATTAATAAATAAAATTCTGCATTTGATGACTTTTAACAGAACCGACCTTGTACAAGGTACTTGTGTTACACTTTAAATGTTGTGTGACCTTTGGCCGGGACCCAAAATAGTGTATTCATTTTATTCCATTTAAGTTAAATGTTAATGTGTGCATGTAGATCTTATCCAGTTGTGTGAACAAAAAAAAAACAGAAAACCTTAAGAGATTACTGTTGTACAAATCCCTTATATGCAATTAGATTTCATTGTAACATAAAGAGATTTCTTAAAAATCAGTTTGACATTCTAATTTAAAATAAACATGAATTAAAATAATTCAATGATCACGACAGATATCCTCGCCGCATCCCGATTTCAATGAGACTTTCAACGCCATAGACGATTCTGCCGCGTGTCCACAACTATCACCTATCAACGACGGAGGGACTTTACAATGTCTCCACCTGAACATATACGTTCCGAAGACAGCCACCCCCCGCAACCTGCTCCCCGTCATGGTCTGGATCCACGGTGGCGGCTTCAGACATGGAAGCGGTAACTGGCGGGACTACTCCCCGGAATTCTTAATCAAGCAAAACGTGGTTTTGGTTTTCATGAACTACCGCCTCGGGCCTTACGGGTTCATGTGCTTGGAGGACTCGAGAGTACCAGGGAATCAGGGTTTGAAAGATCAGCATCTTGCTTTGGAATGGGTCAATAGAAATATTAATGCTTTCGGCGGGGATAGCAGTCGAGTCACGTTGTTCGGCGAGAGCGGCGGCGCGATCTCTGTCCATTGGCATTTGCTGGCGAATCACGAAAAGCTCTTCCATAAAGCTATACTGCAGAGCGGGTCCGCTTATATGCCAGGCACAACGGTAAAACCGGACAACACAGTGCCTTTCAAAATTGCCGCCAAAATGGATTTCGTGACCGAAAACCTCGACTTAGCGCTATCGTTTCTCGCCAAACAAGACCCGCCTGTACTAGTCAGAAATGCCAACGCTTTGGTAGACGAAGGCCTGATCAAATTGAGGCCGTGCGTCGAAAAAGAATTCGAAGGGACCTATAGATTCATCACGGATTACGCCGAAAATTTACAAGTCGACGAGATACAGGATATCCCAATGATTTTCGGTTTCAACGAACGAGAGAACTTGGTTTACTATCAGAGTCAGTTCTTGAAGGTTCCCCTGAAAGACATCCTCGGCTTCGATGACGAACAAACGGAATACGTGAACAAGTTTTATTTCGGCGACGACGGACCCGTTGAAACACGCGAAGATGAGTTCATTGATATGACGTCCGACTTCAATTTCAACCATCCGATCGAGAGGAGCATGAAACAGTTCACCGAAGCCGGCGTCAAGGACATATACTATTACGTGTTTTCGTACGACGGCGGCCGGAACATGATGAAAATAGCCCGGAACGTGACCGCGCCGGGAGCGACACACGGCGACGAATTGGGCTATTTGTTCGGCACTGATTTGATAACCGGAATACCCAACGACGAAGACGTACACATGATAGAGAAAATGACAACGCTTTGGGGAAACTTCGCTAAGTACGGGTGGGTATATTCAATATTTGGTAATAAACATACTTATACTTAGTCTGGCCATAAATACTGTTACAATAAGAAAAAAAAAATCTATTGCAAATAACATTTATTACTTTTACAGTGTGTTAGTTTAATACATAAATATAAAACAATTTAAAGTATAAAAAGCTTATTCGAAGTGGTCTCCATTGGCTGCAATACAGTTCTTTAAAAGTTGAGGCCAGTTCTCAATAGAAGCACGCACTCTTTCCATGTGAAAATTTTTCACTGCCAATCGTACGGATTGTTTTAGGGACTCCAAATTATCATGGCGTTTAGAGAAGCCGTACTCTCTAAAACTGACCATAAATTATAATCCAGCGATTAAGATCGGGACTTGACGAAGGCCAGTCTTCAGCTCTGATGAAGTCCGAAACGTTCGTTTCCAACCAAGACTGCATAGACCGAGCTTTATGACCTGGTGCTGAGTCTTGCTGGAAGGACCATTCTTGATTATTGAACATAGTGTTGTTAAGGGGCTTCACTACCTTCTCAAGAATGGTATCTTGATACACTTGTGCCGATGTTTTGATACCTTTTTCACAAAAGTATGGCTCAGTCACTCCTTCATAGCTAATACCCCACCAAACCATCACTGAAGTCGGATAGTGCCCACGTTGCACTCTGTCGACTAATTGGGAAGCTTCCTTAGAGCTTTGACCATAAATACGGTCATTTTGTATGTTAAAATGTTGCTCAATTGTAAAAATTTTCTCATCTGTAAACAAAATTTTTCTAGGACCTCCCTTTGCGTACCGCTTCAGTAGTTGTTTCGATTTTACCACCCTATTCTCTTTTAAATTATCAGTTAAGAAATGACCAGTACGTCTCTTATAGGCTGCAAGTCCTAAGTCATCTTTTAAAATACGCGACATGGTTCTAGGTGCTANTTTGTTAAAATGTTGCTCAATTGTAAAAATTTTCTCATCTGTAAACAAAATTTTTCTAGGACCTCCCTTTGCGTACCGCTTCAGTAGTTGTTTCGATTTTACCACCCTATTCTCTTTTAAATTATCAGTTAAGAAATGACCAGTACGTCTCTTATAGGCTGCAAGTCCTAAGTCATCTTTTAAAATACGCGACATGGTTCTAGGTGCTATCTTCATCTTCCGAGATATTTTTTTTTGCTTTCGGACAGGATTTCTTCGAATTCTTTCCCTTACTGCTTTGACCACCTTTTTCGTACGAACACTACTTGGACGGCCAGATCTTTTTCTGTCACAAACAGAGGAGGTCTCATTGCACCTATTAATAGCCCGGCACACAAACATTTTACTAATACCAAGCGTATGGAGAGTTTTTAAAATTGCATTTGGCTCCATACCTACTTTGTGTAATGCAATCACAGCGCTTCGGTTCTCTTTATCACCCCACTCCATTTTAATATCGCAAAATATTGTACAATGTATTGGCGCCTAAATGAGAAAACTCAATGAGCAATCATATAAAAATGGCAGATTCCAAATTCAAATGTAATATTTTGTTTATTTTTAATTGTAACAGTATTTATGGCCAGACTAAGTATAATAATAATATAATAAGCCTTTATTGCTGTTAAAATTTACAATACTTTTATCTAAATATTATATATATATTTTAATGCTATCACTCAACACGATTGCACCGGACGTCTTATCCTTTAGACCACGAGTGGGCTGTGTCAGTGGTTTAATTTACTCGCCGAGCCCTTCGTCGCAAGCGACGGGTTCGATGAGAACGATGACCGGTGAAGCGATAATAGCCTCTCGGAGCTCTTGGCAAATGCGCAGCCAAACAAAAAAAAGCACTTTTTTTCCCCTACCTAGGCTGGTAATCTAGGGAATTATGCCAGCGTAACCGGGCGAATAGGTGAGCTCACGGGGCTCAAACCTAGGACGTTGCTAACTCTAGTTCCAGCAAGAGCAGGGCTTCGCAGAATCCACCACCGGATCGGAAACGCGACCCACTGAGAAGATCCGGCGAGAAACTCAATAGGCTGTGTCTGAAGGTTATAAAAATTCCACGATAGCTGACCGACACGTACTCTTCTCTTTTTGCAGAAACCCAATCCCGGAGACCTCTCAACTACTACCCGTGAAGTGGACTAAGATCTCCCAGAATACAAGACCCTATATTAACATAGACAGCGCCTTGGAGTCTAAGAACAGACCATTTAAACAAAGGCTTACATTTTGGGACCTATTTTACGAGTACTACGATCAGAAATTTCATTTAAAACACCTAAATACTTGCTGAAGTCAATCCTCAATATTATCATATACGGTGGAGCGTTATTTATTTATTTATTACACTTCATGTAAAAATTAGATTGGCGGACTAAATGCCTAAGGCATTCTCTACCAGTCAACCAAAGGTAGTGCAGAGTAAATAGTGGTAGATGCAATGAAATTTATATTGAGTTACAAATACATACACATAGACATATATATATCTGTACACATATACATACACACATACATACATTCAATAGTTTATACAGTATTAAAAGGAATATATTAATAAATTTCCTTAACAAATAACTTCACCTCAATAAGTTCATGACGATTTCGCTAACTTTTCCGACAGCATTCGCCGAACCCTTAACTTGAACGCGCACCGGTTAGTAATAGTCCTGTGTTCTTAGTGCGAGTTTCTTAACGTTCTCGATAGCGTAAAAGTTAAGCCAAATTTGTATGCAATTGGAACAGCGCCCCTAGCGGCAACCGTAGGCAAACGTTTTAACTCCATACAAATATGAGCTAACTTTCACGCTATCGAGATCGTTAAAAAACTCGCACTAAGCGCTCTGATCTCGAGAGGAAGCGCATTCCATAGCAGAACAGACTAGATGGCGAAAGAGTTACGAACATAATTATAACTATGTGTTCCCACACAACGAATTAATAGGCTATGGAGAGAACGTAAGGCTACTCATGGCTGGAGTGAAGATATTGAAAATAGGGAGTTAGATAGGAAGAAGATTCCGGAGACATAAGTAAGGAGTGAAGAGTCGTCAGTACACGTAAATTACGATGCTGGCGAATCGGTAGAAGTTTGAGCTGAGCACGATAGGAAGATATATGATCATATTTACGAAATGTCGCACCTTGAACTATCTGAATGGTTTGTCTCGACTTAATGTTGACTCTTTTGAATTTACTTCGGTTGCTGTGGATGAGATCAAAAATATTATCCTGTCCATAAAATCGAAAGCCGTGGGTTGTGACAAAATAAGTCGCCGTATGATCGTCACAATCCTGGATCATCTTCTGCCAGCTATATAGCACATCACAAATTTCTCCCTATCATCAGGCTCTTTTTCGTCATTGTGGCGTAAGGCCTACGTCTTTCCTTTACCTAAAATCCCTAACCCTTCCTTTCCAAATCACTTTAGGTCCATATCTATTCTTCCCTTCCTATCAAAGGTGATCGACGCCTGTGCACACAAACAATTGTCGCAGTTTATTTTCCGGAAAAACTTATTGAGCCCTTACAAGTCTGGCTTTCGACCAGGTCACAGCACCGTTTCCGCTCTCCTTAAAGTGGTTGGCGACATTAGGGCAGGTATGCAAGACACACTCGCGTCATTATATCGATGGCGCGAGGAAGAGCGGGCACGGGGCTCGAGGCTGGTGCAGCAGCAGATCGCGCTGCGCCGCGAGGAGCTCCGTCAGGCCTTGGTGGCGGAATGGCGGCAAAGGCTTCTGCGCCCTGCCGCCGGCCTCGCAACCGTCGAGGCGATCCGGCCAGTACTCGACGACTGGCTCAGGAGAAGGCACGGTTCCCTGTCGTTTAGGGTGACACAGGTGCTGTCGGGGCACGGTTGCTTCGCCAAGTACCAGTGCCGCATAGACAGGGAGCCGGACGCTCGGTGCCTCCACTGCGTCCACTGCGGGGAGGACACGGCGCAACACACGCTCGCCGAGTGGGCGGAGGTAGTCCACGAGGATATCCCCCCGAAAAAAAAAAAAAAAAAGATATGCAAGACACTAAAGTCACCGTACTCGTACTAATTGATTTTTCAAATGCGTTCAATGCCATCAATCACGATATCCTCCTATCTGTTCTGTCCTATATTATGATCTCTCCTACAGCGCTGGAATGGTTTTCATCATATCTTCGGAGACGCCAGCAGTCTACTCGTATTGATGAAACCTCTTCAAGTTGGTGTAGTGTCGACTCTGGCGTGCCCCAAGGCGGTATTTTGTCTCCCATTATTATTTTCTATTTTTATAATTTTTTTAACAAATAATCTTCAGTGTGCGTATCATCTGTATGCTGATGACTTGCAGCTTTATAGGCAGACGACTGTGGAGTCTATTTCTCAGGCAATAAACCAGTTAAATAGGGACCTGGACTACATATGTAATTGGTTAACTAAGTTAGGCTTAACCGTGCATCCAACGAAATGCCAGGCCATTATTGTGGGTAGTCCTCGTATGGTCCAACGCTTAACTACTATGTCACTCCCACCTATATTGTATAATGGTACAGTGATTCCCCTAAGTTCCGTGGTTAAGAACCTAGGCCTTTATATAGACTCCACACTCTACTGGAAAGCTCAAGTATTTTACATAGGACAAAGAACCTCTGGAATTCTTCTGTATCGCCTCAAGAATTTCTTACTATCAGCGACTATGATATATATGTTGGAGTATTTCCACTTTCGGGTAGCGACATGGTAAGCGGGCGGTCTTCGTAAGTCAATAAAACAGAAATGTTAACTCAGAGCGTATATTACGCAGGAGCGTTCCGTCTGATACGGCGACTCGCTCGCTTCTGAGCTCGAGAGACAACAACGGAGCGTTTTTATAGCAAGGTATCGTGTGGGACGATGTTGTTTACGATTCTTATCTTGCACGTGTTGTTTTCGATGAATGCTTGCAGCTGTTGTTTGTCGTCCCATCTTTATTAGTCATGAAGTAATGGTTTATAAAAACACGCGCCGACATATATAGCGACTATGACTATGATATATGAACACTATGCTAGTACAAGCCTTGATCTTCCCTATAATTGATTACGGTGATGCATAATAAAATAAATTAAATTAAAATGGCCGTGTGATTTCTTTCTGGTTTCCCGAAGAATATTGATGAATTATGGGAGTTAGAAGTACGGAGCACTATCCCAGTGTATTAAAAAATGTCCATTGAAAAGGAGCCAATTAAGGTGGCGCCACAGTAGCAAAAGGAAATATTAAAAAAAACAGCGCCATAAACTATTAGAATATGATAATAAATGACGAACGAAAGAAACACTTCCTACCTAAATATTAATAAAAATAAAAATAAATACTTGAGATTTTAAATATGTACCTACTGCATATTTTTTAACTACACAAGTCACGAAAAATACAATATTTTTCAACCCGGTATATACTTTATTCTGTTTAAAACTGCTATATTCATAATATTTATCATTTCCATTTGCTATACTAGAGCTATTTCGGTGAATCCAATTCCAAAAATAACTTGTTGTCTACAGGTGGACACTTATTCGATTTTTCCCCTACGCTCGCTTACGACATTTACAACACAAGCTTACATATTATATACAAGTTGCGAACAACAACATCTGGGTTGTCGGTCTACTGAGCAATTGCACACGCTCGGTAGAAAATCTTCTCTTTGACGGTAAACTCAATAAATTAATTTACTGTCTCATCGTTGTCTTTGGTTGACTGGCAGAGAGCGCACTGAGTCCGCCCGTGTACAACAAATACGTAAAGTGGAATAAACAGTTCAATGTACTCAACGATCCAACAAACAGTCTTGACTTGAAAAAAAAGCTTAGGATGGAGCATCACCTACGGGAAAGTGCTTTTTTTTCCTACCTAGGCTGGTGATAGGACCTCTTGGGAGTCCGCGCGGGTAGGTACCACTGCCCTGCCTATTTCTGCCGTGAAGCAGCAACGCGTTTCGGTTTGAAGAGTGGGGAAGCCGTTGTAATTATACTTGAAACCTTGGAACTTATATCTCAAGATGGGTGGAACATTTACATTGTAGATGTCTATGGGCTCCAGTAACCACTTACACCAGGTGGGCTGTGAGCTCGTCCACCCATCTAAGCAATAAAATAAATACCGGGCTAGTAGGTGAGCTCACGGGGCTCAAACGACGATGTTGCTAACACTGGCCCTAGCAAGAGCAGTGCTTCGCAGAATCTACCACCGGATCGGAAACGCGACACACTGAGAAGATCCGGCGAGAAATTCAGCGGGTGTGTCTGTGGGTCAATTCACTCACCGAGCCCTTCGTCGTAAGCGACGGGTTCGACGAGAAGGATGACCGGTGCTTGGGGTACCTAAAAGCATCTAATGTAATCGACCAGTCTTGTGCAACGTTGACATTGCTCGGAACATAGATGTCTCTAACCTCTTCTTCTTTTTCTCCACCTTATCCCACTAGGTGGGGTCGGCACAGCTAATTTTTTTATTCCATTCTCTTCTATCGGCCGTCATCTCAACACTCACTCCTCTCTCTCTCATATCTTCATTCACACACTCCATCCATAGATGTCTCTAACTAAACCAAGATTAACTTTGTCTGTTGGCTCTGGACACAAACAAAACTGTTGTCACTACAATGATGCGCCCAAAATATTTCAGTTTAGAAATAGAAAGAAAAAAAACCACATTCAAGTATTTTTATCATATTATAGTAAAAGATATATATTAATAAAAAATAAAAATAATGTATTGAGAGAGAGAGAGAGAGAGAGAGAGTATTCTTTATTGTACACCAAAAAACAAATAAACAGTGCTATACATTAAAAACAAAAAAGTACAATTATCGCTTATCGCTTCGTCTACTAACGTAACTATCGTCTTATCGCTAAGAGCGATCTCTTCCAGACAACCATCAGGTGGACAAGAATCATTTGGAAACGAACTACGCGCGGTGTACCATTCCAGTGAAATACATATACATATATGTAAACATACATACCTCCGTAAATATACATACAATTAATACAAAGTATTATAATATAATAATTATTATTAAAAATAAAAAAATAAAATTAAATTTTAAATTTTGCTTCTTTACATATAAATAAGAATAAGCAATTTACATATAACATTGACATATTGATGTACATATAAAAGTAAAAAATATATTTTATTATTCGAACGCTTTCATCGTTGTTATTGTAAATTCCCTAAATCGAATTTAATACGCATAAAAACACATAAAAATGTCTCACGTCTCATATTCGACGTAACACAGTAACTGATGTACTCACCTACCGCGCCCTTGGACCGCAACGCAGAGCACAAGTATCGCCACGCGTACAATCATGTTGTAAGTGCTTTTAATTAGCTACATGTGTGACCTTTTATATGTAGTTCGTATCTAATTGAGGCAGGGATGTATTCAGAAAGTGTTTCGAGGTCCGTGTTATGTTTTTATTTATTTAATTTTACTTTATACCTCTACTAGCTGTACCCGTTCGCTTCGTTGGGCATTTAAAATTAACATTATTATTTCTCACCCCCACAAAGATTCTCATCATTAACGCCCCCGCAACTTGTGTAGGGAGTTCAACACTCATATAAATATTAGCCTATCCATTAAGTACATGTATTTTCTACATGGATACGAAGTTTCAAGTCAATCGGATGCACGGTTCAGTAGTTATAACGGAACATCCGTAAAAACCATTGTAGATTTATATATTAGTGTAGATATAGATAAGCACATTGCTCGAAGCGATAGCGGCTGGGGTCTAAAAGTTAAGCTTAGTTAAGTTAAGGCTAAGCCTGCCACGTTTCGGACCGATCTACTGAAGGTCGCGGGTATCCGCTGGATGAAGAGGACCGCTCCCTGTGGCGAGCCTCGGGTGAAGCCTGTGTCCACGCCTGTGGGCTAATGACGACCCTCGAGGGTAGGGTGACGAGGAGACACACTCCGTAAGCACCTCACCTTACTATTGCATTTGTTGTGTTCCGTCTCCAGAAAAAGAAATAACATTATCTTCGGATTGTAATAAACCTAGGATTGGTAAGAACGGAACGTATAAAAAGAGTGTGGAACGGAGCGTTAAGATATAAGTGAGAGAACACGGAAAGAAAGGGAAAAGCGAATGACAGACAGAGGAACAGAGAAAAAGGAAGATGGCGAAGACGGTTAAAAAGCAAGGCGTAATAAAAGTATTTATTATTTTTTTATTATTATTATAACAGAAAATTTTGGAACAGTGTAAATTTTATTTTATGCGCTGCGATTCCTATTCTACATAAATGAACTGTAATTTCTGCAATTTCTTCGCTTCGACAATTCCGCGGTCACCCCCCTTAACTCCCCCAGGTTCTAAAGAGAGCGAGAGTGAAGGGGAGTCGATTATTAGGTAGACCTCTATCGTCTTAGACCCGACCTTTAATTGGCCACCGAGTCCCGCATATTCCACGCGCCCCCCCCAGCGGGGACGTCGTAAGAATGATCGACCCGACCTCAACCCAAAAAAAAATGTGTGGTGTCGTGGGACACCGGATAGGAACGAAGTTCCTTATTATAAAAATATTAATTTTAAGTTCTCTTCGAGGTATAAAGAAAATAAAACTGAAGGTTTCGCAACAACCCACGGTCATTCGGTAACGGGCGAACTTATTGTGGTACACTTCATTCACGGTTGTTTGCATAAGAATTGGTGTATTGCGCAAACGAACGCTCTGAGAGCGTGGTCAATGAATGATAAAAAATATATGTTATTTTTTGTACGTTATTACAAAGTTAAGTCGTACACTGTGTGCATTACTAATAAAAATCTTACGTTACGGACGTTTTTTCCCGGTTAGTGTACCCCTCCGCATCGTCCCATAAGGAACTTCGTTCCAAAAACCCGCAATCTCCTATTGTTTACGACCTTGATTTAACTATCGTAATTCTCGAATTGATCTTAGAAAACAATTTTATCGTTACATTACGGTAAATGTTTAATTGACATTTTGAACTTTTATCAATTACAAGTAAGTCTTGAGGCTAAGACTATGTCAACGAGAGATCGGACTTGTAGTTCGATTATTCAAGGGCCGTGTTGATTTCTTCACGGAAATGACTAGAGGCTCAGCCTTTGAACTCCCATATCTTAATAATAAATAGAGGTCCCGCAGTAGTCGAAATTAGACTATAATTAATTGGAATTGCAAATTTGTACACTATTATGATTGTATTTTATACTTCTATAATCATAAATTTCGCCAAGACTACACTATAAAAAATATTAACAAAGACAAACCATATTCTATTCTCAATTTGACAACAGACGTCAAGAACAAAAGTTTGACAATAAATAAAATAGTATGCACGCGTGTGTGCGTCAAATACATGGTATGTAGTGTGTGTAATGTTTTCTTTATTGATTTAATGTATCTTTTATGCATTATTTTAAAAAAAAATTAGCATTGTGCACTTCTTCTCTATATTCTCTATAAGTGTGGAAAATTACATACTCCTCAGTCCGCGCAATTTTCGTAAAAAGGGATACAAAGTTTTTGCTTCACGTATTAATATATAGATAACTGGGAATAAATCATGCACGGTGATCCGACCCCCAATTTAGGATTCCCTGTGTTATGGGTACTAGGGAATGACATACACACTTATATACGTTTAAATATACTAGTGGTCCCCCGGTAGTCGAAATTCGACTTTAATAAATTTAAATTATAAGTTTGTACACTGTTATGATTCTATTGTCAAAGACTATTCTATAATTGAGTCGACTATTATCAAAGCCGGTAATGTGACTTTTGGACAATTATTGGTAAATCAGAAAAACGAATTATTGACTTTGTATTCCATTGGCAGTCACAAAACTCTTCTGAACGACATCTTAGATAAATAACAGGTTAAGTATTAACCTTTATTTAATGCAGGTTTTGAACCGTATTCTTTGAAGGAGACGATTATATTCAAATCANATTTGAGTCGACTATTATCAAAGCCGGTAATGTGACTTTTGGACAATTATTGGTAAATCAGAAAAACGAATTATTGACTTTGTATTCCATTGGCAGTCACAAAACTCTTCTGAACGACATCTTAGATAAATAACAGGTTAAGTATTAACCTTTATTTAATGCAGGTTTTGAACCGTATTCTTTGAAGGAGACGATTATATTCAAATCAATCCGTATTGACATATCAATAACATTTTTTTGTCCAAATGCACAGATTGCCACCTTTGATAATAGACGACTCAATTACAGATTTCGCCAAGACTACACTTTAGACAAACAATATTTATTTATTCTCAATTTGACCACAGAATTTAAGCAATAAGAAAAGTTTTACAATAAACAAATAGTATGCATGCGTTTGGGTATGACAAATACGTGGTGGTGTGTGTAATGTTTATTTTTATTGATTTAATGTATTTTTCATGCATAATTTAAAAAAAAAATAATATTCTGCTCTCTCTGCATATTCTCTATAAGTGTGAAAATTTTCATACTCCTCCGTCCGCGCAATTTTCGTAAAAAAGGCTATGAAGTTTTTGCTTGAGTACGTATTAATATATAGATAAAGTATAAACACGCAACTAAGAGCAAACACACCTGTGTGCTTAGTGCGAGTTTTTTAACGTTCTCGATAGCGTAAAAGTTAACTGAAATAAAAAATGAAATGAAATTTATGAAATGAATTGAATTTATGAATTTATGAATTTTTGTGAAATGCATTAAGTGCCCCTAAACACATACCTATGGTAAAAATCATTACACCTGTTCCTTTTCTTTTTATATATATGTGTATGTGTGGGTATGTGTGTGTATGTAAATATATATATATATATATATGTGTGTGTGTATATATACATGTATAATATTCGCTTACCTATTTTGATTTTCTAAAAAAAAAAAAAAAGTAGAAAAGTAAAGTAAAAAGCTCTCCACGAGACAGGCAGTGCCTAGTGTGGAGAGTTTTTAGCAAACTGTCGTGTAAATGTTTTTCAAGGTTAATAAATAAATTATTATTATTATTATTATTATATTTGCTTCGATCAACAGTTACTATTGTTGATCGAAGCATATTTGTATGGAATGCGATCGTTTGCGTACGTTTGCCGCTAGGGGCGCTGTTCCAACTGCATACACAATTGAGTTAACTTTTACGCTATCGAGAACGTTAAGAAACTCGCACTAAGCACACTGTTCATCACATGAATGTTTGCCCGATGCGGGAATCGAATTCACCACCCACGGCGCTAACTATGGCATCACCGAGTCAAGAAAGCCAGAAAGAGACAAATATAACCTACACATAGATTCATTTTTTTTTTTTCCTACCTAAGCTGATAGCCCTAGTGGCTATGTCAGCGTAGCCCTAACTTTAGTAGGTGAGCTCACGGGGCTCAAACCTGGTGACGTTGCTAACACGAACCCTAGCAAGAGCCGTGCTTCGCAGAATCTACCACCGGATTGGAAACGCGACCCACTGAGAAGATCCGGCGAGAAACTCAGTGGGCTGTGTCTGAGAGTTATAGATTCATACAGACATTACATTCTTCGCAAAACAAATGTATTACGTCATCAAAGTAATATTTTCAATTTTCATGTAACCATGTACTCATAAGAACCGATTCCAAATTAATGTTTGATTTTAAAAAAAAACTCCCATTGTGAATCGATAAAGATTTTCCCTAATTTCTTCATTAATTAATTTAATCACAAATTGTTTCACGAAAATATGTGTCTAAAGCGACCGTGACCTGTAGCTGAGTATACATTTGTAAATATCTTATCATATGCCATAGAGGTATGCACCAATAGAACTGACGGTATTTTTAATACGCTTATATTAGCTTCAGACGTATGTATGTTTGTAACGGAATCTTTGAACATGATTTTGACCCCCTTCAAAACGTCGGATTAACTCGAAATTTGGTATACTCATTAAGGACCGATGACAATTCAAAAAAGAAGAAAATAATTGAAATTAAACTAAAAAGTGAAAAATAAATTATAGTTTAAAAAAAACTAACAAAATACAGTTTTATAGAAAGTCCAACTAAAAAATAGAAAATAAATTTTGATAAATGTAAATTTGTTTGCATTGCTAATTTACAAAAACAATATATCTTACTATAATCCCATTACCCGAATGTGTCGTACCTATAACGAAATGGCAAGGTCGTCACCTGAGTTAGATATTTTTACTTGTAGGTAGGTTACGTTTAGAAAAATGTTCAAGGGCATCCTCCACTTCATTAATAGGTAGGTTAATGTAATCGTTTAATGTATTATATTGTGAATATTTTTTTTTCCTTGCATTATTCATTGATTAGTTTTTGTTATTGTGTTGTTTTGTCATAATTGTAAGGAACATTGTT